AATTTAATTCTTTTTTATATTAGTGTAGTCACGCTTTTTACTTATTTATATTTTATTTTAATAAATCTTTTTAGCTAGGCCGTGAACTTAATTAACTTGGTTATATATATAATAATACTTTTATTTTTATTTTTAAGCTTTAGTATTATAGGTAATTTTAAGGTCTTAGGTTTTATTTTTTAAATTACCTTGCTTTACCACCCTTATAATTATAAAATAAACTATATAATTATATATTAGCCTTAGTAAGCATGTTATAATAAATACTATAATATAAGCATGTAATATTATATTACCCTTAATAGGCGTGTTATAGCCTGCTTTATAAAAAAAGCCATAAATTATTATTAGGGATTTAATAAAAATAAAAATATAGTAAAGTAGTAAAAAAGGTAGTAAAAGTAAATATAGTATTAAAAAGTAAATATAGCATTAGTAAAGCTAATATATTAATATAAGTAATTTAATTATTAAAGGTGTAAAGTTAGTGGGATAATATAAAGTTAAAAAGTTAGTAATAGTAAATGCTTTTTATTAAAAATAACTACTTAATAATAGTAAATAGTATTAATTACTAAAAATATTTCTTAATAGCTAGTTAAAGTAGTTACCTAACTTTAAATAATAAAAAAAAAGTAAAAACCCTATTATATTATAACATGCTATTATTTATAGTAGCTATAAGGTTACTATAAAAATAAAAAAATCTTAATTTTTAAGTAAGCCATAAAGCGGCTAAAATATCTTTATGTTATATAATAGGGCGGTAATACAGGGCAGAACCCGTATACCCGGGATGTGGCCCGTATGCGGCCACAAAATTATACCTAGGCCTAATTTTAGTAAAATAAAGGCCTTTAATTTATTAAAGGGCTTTTTACCTTTTTTTACTTTAAACCCTATTTTAAAACCTTAATATTATAAAATTTTTATATAAAAATTAATATTAGCTAGTTTTTTTAATAAGCTACTATAGCCTTTATAATAGGTTATATACTTTTAAACTTAAAAAAATTTATTTTTAAATTTAGCTAATTAATAATTATTATAAAAAATAAAGTAAGCCCGCTCCTAAACTCCTATTTATTTTATTATTAAAAATATAAAAAAAAGTAAAAAATTAAAAATTAGACCTGTTATTTTTTTTTAAATAATTAATTAAATAAAAACTAGCACCTTAAAGTAATTAAAAAAACTTTAAGTTTTATTTAGGTACTTTAATAAGCTATATAAGCTATATTATTACTATAATTATTTTTAATTTTATTTTTTATAATTATATATAATTTACCTTCTCCACTTTTTATTAAAACCTTAAAAAAATACCTTTATTAAAATAAATTACTACCTTTTTCCAAGCACTAAAAAAATTTTAAAAATTATTTATTTAAAAATATATTTTTTAAAGTTATTAACCTTAAATTAAATAAACTTAAAAAAATAACAGCATAAAAGGTAGTTAATAAATAAAAAATAAGTTTAAATAAATTAATTCCCTTATTATAAATATTTATATATAAGTTTAATATAAATAACTACTTTTTTAAGGCTAAAGCTTAAATTTATATATATAAAGATTTTAAACTAGTTAATTATAAAAATAATTAAGTAGCTATAGCTTTTACTTATTTTTTTTAAATTATTATAACGCTTATTACCTTTTTTAATATAAATATAAAATAATATAATATTATTAATATTTTTTTAATACAGGCCTTAATAAGCCTATATATTTTTAATTTTTAAATAGCCATAAGCAAGAAAAAAAGCTTTTAAAAGCTTTTAAAATTATTTATAGCCTTAAAAAGTCTTCCTGCCTTTAATAACTTAATCTAGTTATTACCTTATATAAATTTAGTTTTATTATAATACCTAAAAAAAATGCCTTTTTATTAATAAGCTAATAATTTTCCTAGTATATATAAATAATCTTATTTTTATAAACCTTTTTACTAAGTAAGGCCGCTTTATAATAGTTATTTTTAAAAAAAAACTTTTAGTAAAGTACAAGCTTTAGTATTTTAGTAAAGCTAAATAATTTTTAAAAATTTAAATTTTTTAAAATAGGCCTTAGCGTAAGCTCTAGCTTTTTTAAAATTTTTATATTAAAGTTATTATAAATTAATTTTACCTAAATACTATAATTTAACTATTTTTTACCTTGTTTTTATTACCTAGCAAGCTTTATTTAAACTTTAATATAATTATTTTTAAAAATATTAAAAAAATAAGATTAAAAATTAAATTTATTAAATATACTAGTATTCTTATTTATTTAAATATTTTTTATATAATAAGCCGCTTGTTAAAACACCTTATTAATTTTATAAATTATTATTAATATATAGTAAATTAACTTATTTTTTATTTTTATAACACACGCTTTTTTACTCTTAAATACTCTAGTTTAAATAGCTTTAAAAATAAGGTTTTTATTAAAAAATATAAGATTTATAAGTTATACTTTAATATAATATTTATAAATTACTTTAATTAATTTTTTAATATAAACTATATTTACAAGCTATACAAGGGCCTAATTAAATAAAAGGTTATAAAGTAATACTTAATTACTACCTTTATTATTAAAATTAAGTTACTTACTTTTACTAAGGCCTTTAAAGTAACCTATTAATAATAAAAAAATTTTAAAGCTATATAATTTAATTTTTAATATTAATTTTTAATTTAATATAATAATAAATAAATAATTAATATTTTTATTAATACTAATATATAACTTTATTTAAAAGTTTATTATATTAATATTTATAATTTATAGCTTAGGCAGGAAGTTTAGTATAAAAACTTTTATATTAAATAAACCTTTATTAATTAAATAATTATAAATAGCCTTATAAAGGCGCTTATTAAATAATAATACTAAAATTTATTAAAATACTAGGTTTAATAAACATCTCTAGCCTTATTTTTAACTAATTTAAAAGTAAATAGGTATTAAGGGGGCGTGTTAGCTAATAATAAAAATTACTTAATTTAATAAAAAAGTATTATAGTGCTTTAATAGTGCTTAAGCACTTTAAATAATTTTAATTAAAATATTATAATACTTATTATTAAATTACTTGCCTATATAATTATAATATTTATAGTTTTTTAAATATTATAAAGTATTAATAAAAGTATTTAAAATTCTTATTATTTTTAAAAGCTTAAATTATTTATATAAACCCTAGTTAGCTCTAGCTTTTAAATATTATTACGTTTCTTATTTAATTTTTTAGTATCTATTTAATTAACAGCTTTCCTTTGCACGGTATTTAAAGGGCCTCATAGATAAACTAAGTGAAAGAAGTGGCAGTGGCAGCGGTTGTGGGTGGTCCAAAGGTAAGGTAAGGAACCATACCTCACTAATGGCCTCTAGCAAGAATGTTGATGCTAATGGAAAGCCTTCATGACCTGCATGTATTAAGATCCCAGTACACACCCGCTGAGAGCGGTTTCAATCAGTCATGCACCTGCTAGGGTATCTGGACATTTGGTAGCGTGTGGTCTCTACCCTAACTGACCCTTAAAGTAGGGTCGTGGTCATGCATCCTCTTGTCAGCAGTGTACATGACATGGGACGCAGGACAACGAGGGTTAAACCACCTCTATAGTACTAATCCAGCAGCAAGCTGCGTGGGGTATATGTATTTGTATACATGGAGCCACTGGCGAATTTGTGTGTGCACCGCAACTGCCCCGGGTGGGGATACTGAAATAGGGCTTACAATGCAGCCTTCTATACGGATACGTACCTTATCATATACATTTCGCCCCTGGGCGCCGTACAGGACCCATTCGGGTGTTTAGTTCTCTAGAACCACTGAGCAGCACATTTACTTTATAATTCCATAGTCCAAGATGAGACGAGATGAGATAAAAACTAGGGTCGTGAGGAGACATCAGCATGTAAAAATATATAAACACTCCGTCACCTACTATAACCACCCCTCACTCATCATCCCAAGTCCACTCTTGTTTGTTCCCATCACATTAAAATCCCACCAATCCAATCAGACTCAATCCAATCCATTCAAACCAGAATATAAATTAAACCCCCAGCCCTCTTCTCCCTATCCGCCCTGATCCACGGCTATATCCGCCTCGGCTCCCCCTGCACGGACCCGGCTATGACTGCTCACAAGTCACATCTCGAGTACAACGTCGCGGTCTGCGGCACCGGCGTCTGGCAGCTGGCAGCGGACTGCAGCTCGGGGTTCTGCGTTTGGCCGGCGGGGTATCCGACGCCGTTTTGGGCGGGGCATTCTGAGTGGGAGGGAAGGGAAAGAAGAGCTGGGACAAGGCATGGATGTATGTATGTTTAGGCTGGCTCGTGTTGGAACATGTGGGTGGTGGGCTAGGGAGCGGGAGTAAGTGGTGGTGTTGATGGGACTGGAGACTGGGATACGGGCTTGTTCCAAGGTTACGTTACCTGGGTTGTGGTGGGAGATGAGAGGCTGGGCGGGGGACCTTATGCATCTCATGGGAGACTGCGCATACATAAGGCCGGCATGGTTGGACCACGGCATGTGCTTGAGAGCACTGTGCACGGGCCGGATATCTTGCCAGATCTATGAATGAGGGCTTTGGCGCTTCCTTCGCCACTCTCTGGGATCCATGCAAAAAGCCCATCTTGCAAGCTGTGCCTGCGCCTCAAACTCAGGTATTCACATACCGTCGTACATGTCGAAGTATTTTTTTGTCTTCTATCCGCTGAAGCAGAGCATGGTCTAACTCCATAATACATCTAACATGGATAACGTAAACCAGAAAAAAAGAAAGAAATTCGCAGCAAGATCCCTGTCCTAATATCTAATATACAAATGCATAGAGTATGGGAGGGGCCTGGAAGGGATGAGAAAACCGCACTAAGGCTAACAGGAAAATGTATGAAACCAAGCCCGTCAAGAGAATATCAAGCTAGAGAACAAGGTCAAGGTTTTCTCTTCATCACGTCTCAACCCCAACCCAACCCAATACCCACAAGCCAAACTCTAATAAGCCATCGACATAGCCTTCTTCTTCTGCGACTGCGCACCGATATTCACTCTGGCCGCAATACCAAGCTTATGCACGCCATCCCTCTTCTCCCAGACACCGCTGCGCCCCTCCGCAACAGCAATAAGCTCGTTCGCAACACGGTGCGCAAACTTCGCGTCCTTGCGCTTGGCGCTCGAGTCGATGATCCACCCGATCGCCGCGCGGCGCCGCTGCTTCTCCGCCAGCGCGAGCGGGATCTGCGTCGCCTGACCACCACCGGCGATACCCCTGGCGTGCAGGAGCTTGATCAGGGGGGCGACGGAGTCGACGATGAGGGTTAGGTAGGCGACTGGGTTGAGGGGGAGTTGGGGAGCGGCGGGGCCGGGGAGGAGAGGGCGCTTGGGGTTGATTTTGGGGGGTGGGGCGGAGCGGAGGATGTCGAGGATTATGGACATGTCCTGGGACACGACCCAACCAAGTCAGCTAGCTATCGAAGTATTTTGGGAACGGTGGCGTACCTTCTGGGCCTTGGCTAGCTTCCCGTCGCGCATGATGTTCTTCGTGAACTGCTCGATGACTGGCGAGTAGCGGCGGCGGAGGTGCTCTGTTTTGGGGATGGAGGCGGGGGCCGGGTACTTGAGGCCTGGCATGAGTTCCTGTGTCTCCTCGGTGATTTGCCCGATCATGGTCTCGATGAGCGCGGCATTTTCTGCGTCGGACATGGGGCCCTTGTTCTCCTCGAGCTGGTTGCGGGCAGATGTCGAGAAAGATCGCGAGCCGGAGGGCTTCTTCATCTGGTTTTGGAAGACCTTGGGCGCGTGCTTCTGGGCTTCTTTGTCGCGGGAGAGGATCTATCGTATCAACAGTTAGCATCCACGTCCAAGCCAACAATCTCCACAGATCAAATTTAGAGAAGCTAGGAGGCTATGTACCTCAGAAACAGGCGTGCCCTGCTCCAACTCGGGGCTTGACGGCGTCCCGTCGCATCTCTTTTCCTTGTTCATGATGTTGTTGATCTCCGCGGCCTCCTCGCTGACGTGCGGCATCGACTCGGCCTTTCGCTGTTCCTCGGCTAGTTCCTTCGTGCTCTTGTCGGACGAGGTCCATCTCCGCTGGACTGACTGGACGCTGGATCGCTGGCATGGTCGGCTCAGGGCGGCGTAACGCTGTGCGGCCGAAGCAGAGGTCGGCTGGCGGACGACAGGGACTGCCGACCTGGCGGCGAAAAGGTTGAGTCGGGGTGGCATCTTGGGATCTGAATTGGTCTATCTACGGGTTTGTAGATAGGGTGGTTTGAATGATGAGTTCGAGAGGGTCTGGATGGTTTCACTGTCGGCGAACGATTTTCCTCCGGATCTCCACATAGCTTAGTCATCCGATTTACTCCGGTATAGGCGCGCCAAGATATCGTCAAGGTGAGCTCATACAACATTCAGCAGGAAAAGGACCAAGGAAAAAGTTGTTGATCAATTGCAGATAACTAAGCCTACAGTCAAGCGAGTACAATAGAGATACCGGAGTTAATATGGGTGATTCAAACCAAGCATCCATCCCGTTTTTTTGCCAAAGCATATAAGCCAAAGTAGTCGAGAAGAAACCCGTGGTAAAGTATTCGGCCGTAAATATAACTGACCCGCAGTGCAAGCTAAGCGGCCTGGCTCGCATTACGTATTCGAAAGGGTTATGAGAGTGAAAGAGTGTAGGTAGATCTAATTAGATCAACAGCCAGCAGCCTAGCGGTCCTGGCATTCGAAAAAGAAAGTGAGAGACCATTAAGGTGGTTCTGCATACGAGAGCAGGTTAAGTTTTTACTTCAAGCGTGAAAAAGCGCATCCTCGTTCACGCTATCAGGGTACACGTAGAATGCAAGTGCCAGGATCAAGTACCTATACCGGATTAGCGCCATCTTTCAATAACAGGGGTCTACTCACATTCCCAGACACAGACATCCCTCGAGGTAGTTGGACTTGCCGTCCTGGATAAGGAAGGTTACGACCAATCCCGAGATAAAGAATGCCACGGTCTCGAAGATGTGGAAATGAAGAGTCATATCCACGTGCATGATCCAGCCCAGGATGACGAGGAATGGAGTGACAAATAGAGCAATCTGCAAACTGCTTCCGATGGCAACGCCAATGGCTAGATCCATCTTGCCCTTATACGCGACCACAACAGCCGTCACATGCTCCGCAGCGTTTCCGACAATAGGAATGAGGATCAGACCGATGAACGTGCGGCTCATGCCCGTCTTCTCCACGATGCTGTCAATGCTACCGACTAGGTAATCGGCGCAGATGGCAACCAGAACAGTCACAATCACCAGAGCAACGCCGGCAGCCCAGGGGCTGAGCAGGTGTTCTTCTTCCTCTTCCGGCTCGCCTGCGGCTTCTGGATCCCCAGCAACTTCGTTGTTTACTTCCTCAAAAAGGTGCGCGTGTGACCTGAGCTGGAAGACAAGGTAGATGACGTAGAGTCCGAGGAGGATAATGGCGGTCCAGTGCGACAGGAACAGAATATTCTCCATAGTGTGGCTGGAATCCTTGGCGGAAGTCAAAGAGGCGTAGAGGGTCGCAGGGATGATCAGCGAAGCGGACGCGACGGTCATGAGAGACGACATGGTCGAGGCGACTGTGGTATTGAACGACTGCTCGGGGAACCGGATACCACCAACCACGAAGCAGCAGCCTAGGACGAGGAGGATGTTGGACAGAATGCTTCCGAGCATACTAGCTTGGACAACGCGGATCTGGTTGTCCTTCAGGGCAACAATGCTGACCTATCGACCAAGCCATTAGCCCACAGCACACAAAACTAGCAGCAAACGCATCCAGCAAGACATACAATCAGCTCAACCGCATTTCCAAAAGTCGCATTCATCAGTCCACCCATAGCCTGACCCAGGGTAGCCGCCAATTCCTCCGTCGCAAAGCTCAGCAGCGAAGCAAGCGGCACGATAGCCAAAAAGTTCAGCACGAAAATCGCAGTACTGTTCCATTTCAGCGCCCCGGCAATGATGCCAAGGGGCACAAAGACAAGCAGGACATTGACATAGTCCCGCGTCAGAGTCGCCCAGGTCAAGTGCCAGGCATGGCCCGGCCAGTTCGTCCAGGTTAGCGCACGCTTGTGCTGCGCAGAGTTGCGACGCGGGTCGCCGATAAGAGCGTCGTGCTCGTTCGGCTCTTGTGGGTAGCCATTGCTATTTGAGTAAGAAGTAGACATTCTTCTTGGAGGACCCCAGCTGCCGTGTCTGCGGAAACTAGAGTAGATGCTTTTCCTAGGGGATGCTGTCGGGTCGCAGGCGTGTTAGCTATGGCGGTCCTTGGGAGGGATGGTTCTCAGAAGATCCGGCTGATGCTGATAGCATTAAAATTGATAGAATGGAGATGAAAAGGAAAGGAAAGGACAGAAGACGAAACAATTCGGTGAGGTCAAAGGAGAGTGTGAGCCAGGTTCACTGAAAGAAACCTGCTAGCAGTGTGGACCTTGGCCAGACAAGACAAGACAAATAAGAGAAGAGATGAAAGCAGTGTTTGAATGAAAGAGATCAGAAGATCAAGATGGAAGCCCGTGATGTGCTGGTCCGGAGGGAGGAAGAAGAAAGTTGGGGAGAGCACCTACACATTGGGAAGTGACGAGAACCGAGCCCGGACCAAATTTCGCCAAACGCGCCGGTATATGTAAGAGAGTTCTTGGGACTTGGGCCGGAATAAATTGCGGTTGCTGGTAGCACAGGGAATTAATTGAAATCAGGGTCTTCCGGTGGATGAAGAATTGAAGAGCGCCGTGGTTGCAATGCGATGTGGCTGGACAGTTTGACCTCATCCCGATCAGGATTGCCGCTGATTGGCTGGCGGCGTCAAGACAAGACCGAGCTACTGTGCACAGCCTCGATGATCTTTCGTGGCATTTGATTGTTCTCCGGCCTGATTTCCGGCCAGATGAGAAGAAACCCCTCTCGGAGCTCTGGCACTGCCACAATTTCAAACATTCCGTCGTATTCATGACCTCTCTTGTCTCCCAGCCCCAAAGCTAAAAGGAATATGCTCAGACCAAGCACTGACAGCTCATGCGATATTCCAGGGTCTTATATCAAAGCTACACTAACCGTTAGTGGTATAGCCGCTTCCTGATACCAGCACTGACTCGCAATGGTCTTTGACAGCGAAGCAGAGGACAACTCAGCTTAGACGGTGAGCAGGAAAATATTTAACAGCTGACTCTGCTGGTTCTTACTACGATTGAAAGGTTCGAAGCTACGCGAGTACATTTTCTAAGTCGATGTGATGAGACCTCGGCGTCTCGCGATGATTCGGACGCCGGACGCGCAAGCCACAGAGTGCATGACGTCAGCCGCTGCGCAGCCCGCGGGGATTGCGCTGTACTTACCCAAAGGATTCTACAGTACGCTGAGGTGAGATACTAGTACAAGTACTAAGGAAAGGCATCGAAGACACTGTGTATGATCTAGCGAGTGTAATCTATGCGTCAGCCGCACAACCCAAAATCGGACAAGATATCTAAAAGAAAGACCAAAAGCCCCGACAAACACTGTCATGATCCATATGGAAGTCATAGCCAAACACCGTCTACTATAGATAGCGGAGTCTATTGGAGGGAAGTCTATTGGCGAAGACAGAAAATCTACACTGCTGATCCACCAGCGAGTCCTATGTCCTGTGTCAGCAGCTGAAAACCGGTCAAGGTAAGATACGCAACTCACCTGCAGCAAACGCAAGGTACCATGTCCGAGACGCTCCGCCATCGAGCCAGCTGTAGTCAAAGTTGGCCTGCGAAAAGAAGCTCCAGGAAGCGGCTGGGTCGATGAGAGCCAGGTTTGCGTAAAGGACGCCCTTCCATCCGCCTACTACCCGTTCAGCGGGCACAGAGGCATTGGATGCGAACATGGCGTTCCATTCCTCACGCACGAACTTCTGGCTGCGGATGAATGGTGACATGGGGAGCAAGGGGAGCATGTGAATTCTATCTTGGTCAGTATGCTGTTCGATTGAAGAAGCAGAGAAGACGTACCCTTGAATATACTCAAGGTTAGTACCGAAGTACGTGGTATGGTCGACTTTGTTCTCGAACAACTGCAGAGGGTCAGTATTTTGCTCTTATCAATGATATGCACTCGACTTACTATTCCAGTCACCTTGTTGCCGATGAAGTTGGATGGGTGGTTGACATTGTCACTCTCCATCAAAAAGTAATTGTGGAAGCTGCGCCGCAAGATACCCAGCATGAGGTTGCCTCGAGCCTCCATGCTCGCATCGCCGATCGTCTTTCCCCACATCTTGAGGGCATACGCATACATGGAATCTTCCGAAGACGACTCCTGGTCCTTTCCGTCGTACGACTCAAAGAGGCCTTTAGCCCACGAGTGCCCGTGGAACCAGTCAAAGCCGCGAGAAAATGGGAAGTAGGGATCGTCGAAAGCTGCATTACCGGAGTCGCGAACGAGCGTGTTCACCCAGTCGCGGTTGGCTGCGAGCCAGCTCGGGTCAAGGGCACCGATAATAGCAGCGGCATGGATAAAGTAGCCGTAATGGAAATGATGATCGTTGTAAAGTGTGTTTCCAAAGTCAGCACCGGTGTCACCGCCGTAGCTTGCAGAGGAGACAACGCCTTTCCACACGGTGTCATAGACCAGCGGGAACTGTTGCCGGTTCTCCGCGAAACGGGCAAAGGCCTGCTTCAGACGATCGAGGGCAGGGGCTGCGGTGGCGTGGTCGTTGAGGAGCTTGTCTACGGTCCAAACAATGGTAGCGTAGTTGCTCAGAGCTTTCCCGCTGAAGTACATGCTGTTTAGGTTGCTCCGGCCGTCAATGTCCTGCTGGAGCTCCGTGATAGCCACTTGACGGATCGTCGATTGGGCTGCAGCGCTAAGCTGAGGAGAGCTGTTTGTGGCCAAAACCCATGGAGCAAAACCCATGCTCGTGGGAAGGTCAGGCTCGTTCATGGTCCAGTACTCCCCGATCACGGCTCTAGCCATGCCTTTCGTAGTGGTTCGCAGTGTGATATTGACAGCCCGGGCGCTTGTCTGAGAGTCGAATGAGGCAACGTGGTGTGGTAGCGCAAACATCATGAGAGGCGTAACCTGGTTATCCTTGCCTGACTTGGTCCATGCGAGACGATAGGTGCCGGTGCGGCCATCGACCGAGCCGGAGACAGTTGCCTCGACGGCAAAGACACCAGCCGAGTTGTCAAAGAGGCTTTCTCCAGAGGAGCCGGCCGAGTTCTTGGCGACTTGGATAGTACCAGACCATCCGCTAGGTCCGCGCAGATCGGTGGTAGACACCAACTGGAAGTTAGGGTCCTGTCCGTTGTCTGGGACGGCATAGATGAGCCAAATAGTACCGTCTTCTAGCGTTGCACGGTATTTGAAGACGCCAGCCCGGGGTGAGCCGGCCGTTACAACTTGACGGAAATGAACGGCGCTCTGGACTACTGGCTGTAGTTGAGTGTAGACTCCAGTCACGAAAGCCATACCCTGCACCACAGGCATAGTGATTTTCTGGGAAGAGCCCGCCTGAGGCCGCAGGACAGCATCCGCCGAGAAGGCCTTGTTGTTTTCCGCAGTGAGGACCGTTGAACCACCGAGCTCGGTAGCTGACAGGATTATCGACTGGATGCCAATCGGGTTGATGTAGTACTGGATCGGACTGCCTGGGAGCTGCGAGTTCGTAGGGCCGCTAGCAACGAGGTTCATCTCTGTGTGCGAAATGGCCATACCGAAGCTTGCCAGGTTGCCGCTCCCCTTTGCCCACGCGAGAGTGTAAGGGTGCGAGAAGGTGGCATTTGTTTGGGTTCCTAGAAAGAGCGCGCTATGGAATTTATTCGTCTCAATTGGGTTCGTAGAGTTCTAGCCTTGTCAGCGCCACAAGCCGCCTGTCTGCAAAAGTACTTACAACTCCGTTCTTGGGAACAGGGTGGTCATTCCGGGAAGTGATTGCCGCTGGAATCGGGCCCTTTCCCACCGGCACAAATACGTCTTGGTTCACCATCTCGGTAGAGTCTGAGAAGTTAGTGAGGCTTCGTTATCGGGGGAAGGATACAACCTTGGGTTTCCGCTGTGGACGTGCTTGCCGGTTGATCGGTTGCTGAAGAATTGGACACAGGGACTGTAGTAGTCTCGACAGAGATTGAAGAATCGCTGGCTGTGGTAGGCTCTTCAAGAGTGCCGTGAGTGAGAGACGCAGTAACAGGCGTAGGGGCCGCCGTATCGGACGACGCAAGAGAAACTTCGGGGGCTGTCCCAGCTGATGCAGGAGCGGGAACGTCAGCCGGTGCGTCCGATTGCGGGAGTAGCCAGTCCAGCAAATGCTTAGGTTGACCCAAGTTGTCGAGCACGTCGTCCAGTCCGGTGGAAGTCTCGTCCTTGGCCGAAGCGGTGGCAGTGGCGTATTCCAGTTCGTGGCCTTCACGTTCCAGTGCGGTTGGGTAGAACTGCGCTTGTCAGTATGAACATAGCCAAAGAACCTGAATACTTACACCCTCTGTCTCGGGTGACAGTAGTCGAGCGTTCTGGATTGCAGGTGGAAACTGGGTAATCTCAGAAAAGCTGGCCGGTTGAGTCGGGGTGGGCGCAGAGTGCACTGTTTGTGTTGCAAGAAGCCACATTAGCAAGCCTGCCATGCGCTTCTTGTAGTTTGCTTCCATCTTGACAGCCAGTGTTGCGCAGATAAGATGAACAAGAATACAAAAAAGAAAAGAACTATGAACAGAAAGCAGCCTCTTATAGCAACCCTCAGATGATCAACGTGAGAAGGAAAGTCCCATTTGAACAGGCTGTAGGTCACTCAAAGGCAGTTCGTGAATAAATAACTTGCACGCTGAAGGTAAAGAGCCAGGTAGCCAATAAAGGAGTGTCAAAAGATGCAGATGGTGGTGGTGTAAAGATTGACTCAAGCAAGAGACGGGGATATAAGGAGTGTGGAAAGGAGTTTGGAAAGGAGCGTGATGGGACAGTGAATGTTTTGCCCAGGACAGTGAATGCTGGCCCAGGTACAGCCAGGAACAAGTAACACAACTGCGAAGCGTGAAGAACAGAAAACCTAAGGCTAACATGGTGAATAAAACAAATGGGCTCACCGGATGTGAATGACCCCAGATTCCAGACTCGCCTGATAAGAATCTGGCTAATCTGCGCAACACCCTCGACGGCAGAGCGGAAGTATGCTCGGCTGCGCAACTCAGGAACTGCAACGTACCACGAGAATGTTGATCTGCTGAAAGTCAGTATGTTGAACAGACTCGAGCCAAAACAAACAACGGCGGCGGTCACCAAGGAGGAGCAATGTAGGGCGGCTGGAATGCGGCAGCGCGAGAAGCACGAGCCAACGATTTGATTCGAGATGACTTACAATTAGCGACTGACTGATCCGGATGATAGATTACCGATGCTGTGTATCACTGTTGTTGGCGACGATGGAGGAGGTAGAGTTGACGATGACGCCAGACGAGGGAGCAGAAGGTGGAGCAGAGCAGGCAGCTAAAATATCCCCAGACCTGCCGCTGTCAACTCCCCAGACCATCCATCCCAAGAGCCCGTTCTCCATGACAAGAGTCCCAAGCCTGACAGGCTGATCCACGAGATCCGACTTGGGTTCCTGGTGTTTGCCTTTTCCAATCCATCTCGGTCGGGCTGAGAGCCTAGGAATGCGCGCTGAAGCTTGGCTTTGGGCTCCATGACGAATGGGCAGCCGCGTAATTGAACTTTGATCGAACTCTCAGGGAAGTATCGTCATCTTAAAGCGCCATGGGATCCATGCGGTTGATGGAGGAGGAAGCGAGGTTGTGGCAAGGTTACACTGGCGATGGCGGGGTTGAGCACTTGACTTGGTCATCTCAGTCTGCCCATCTCCGTCCGTGACTGAAACTGGAGTCACACTGTTTGGACATTCTTCCGACTGCAAGTGACTAGAGACCGTGATGCGAAGAAGAACAGAAGCAAAAAAGGGCACGGGGAATCGGGATTCATCTCGAGTTTCTCGACGAGGACTGGGGCCCCGGACCAACGCTGTACTACGGAGCACAGTACTAGGGGCACGTTACATGACAGCCTTATCGCCAACTGTCGGTGAGGTTGTCGTTTGCAAGGTTCTGGTAGCCTGCTAGCCTGCTAGCCTGCTAGCCTGGTAAGGAGTCTAAAGAGTCAAGAACGCATCGGCTGGACTCTACGGACTGCGATGACAGCGGCATGATGTAGCGCTCAACAATCACTCGAACCGGCGTCATCGGGCTGTTCTACATCCCCAACTCATACGGAGGATACCGGTTTCCCTCGGCAAATAATCATCAACCCTCAGAATCAAGCTGAAATGCTGAATCAAGTTGATCAACAAGGCATGGACGTCCTCCAGTCGGATATCCGAAATCCGGAGAGACGCGAACCGGGACGCTGCGACTGCAACTGCAAGGTCGGGGACAGCCTTCGGTTAAATGCGACCTCCAATCACGGCCAGCCACTGCATCTCTTCCCCGCCGAGAGAGGAAGCTGTCGGGATCGCAGCCGGTAGAAACTCGGGAAGCCAACAAATCACGAGCGCCAGAAGAGATTTCACCCCGGGATGCCCCCACGCCGAGTGCCCCCGTGTTATCCCACGTCCCCGAAGTTGAACCCCCACGCCCGCACACACTCCACATTTTGATACCATTTCACACACAGACCAGTTGGAGGACGAGCCCATTACCTACGAGTATCTACATCATGCACGGCTGGCCGTAATACAGCGGAACACCGCTTTGCCGAATAGCAGCAGACTGGCCCTGGATGCCGACCCTGGTACCGGGGAACTCACCTCATGCGGTAGCCGGTCCACTTCAGTTGAGAATGAGCCCACTTACAGGCCTGAGACCGGGGTTGATGGAGGGGTTGACGGACCAGCGCCGAAGCAGTCAAATACCCTCCATCCCCGTACCCCATATCCGGGGCCAACCCCAGACTTCTCTCTCCTCTTGTCTCTTTCTCACCCACTGGCATTAGGACCATGGCGGACGACATCAAACCCGGCTCTGAAGCACTGCAGCTCGAGAAGCCCACTATCGAGACGATGGAGGGCTCTCATCCTGCGTCTAGGATGGACCCAGCACGGCGTGCTGTGGTAGAGAAGAGCATGAAGCGCAAGCTCGACGCCCGCTGCTCGCTCTTCGTCTTAATCTACATCATGAACTACCTCGATCGGAACAACATGGCCGCTGCCCGTCTCAAGGGTCTCCAAGAAGACCTCGACATGAACTACAGCGAATACGCCACCTGCCTGAGCATTTTGTACGTCGGCTACATTCTCATGCAGGTTCCGTCCAACATCTTCATCAACCGCATTCAGCGACCCTCGCTCTACATCTCAGCTGTTATGCTAGTGTGGGGTCTTATCTCAACCTTGTCAGGTGTCGTCAAAAACTTTGGTGGAATGGTCGCAGTCCGTTTCTTCCTGGGATTCGTGGAAGCTGCCTTTTTGCCGGGAGCCCTTATGATCCTGTCCAAGTGGTACACCCGCAGGGAACTCACCAAGCGGAACGCGATCCTGTTCTGTGGAAACCTCATCTCGAACGCTTTCTCTGCCCTGGTCGCAGCGGGAGTTCTCTCCAATATGCAGGGCACCCTTGGCCATCCCGCATGGCGCTGGCTTTTCTGGAGTAGGCTCTGACCGTAAATCCCTATGTCCATTGAAACACTAACATTCATTAGTCGAGGGCGCGGCCACAATGTTCATCGCCATCCTCGCCGGAGTCATCCTCCCCGATCTGCCTACCAACACCCGCGGCTTCACCCAGGAAGAGCTTGAAGTCGCCCAGCTCCGAATGACCGAGGATGTCGGCGAGGCGGACGTTGACGCTGAGGGCTCGGGGCCCTGGGATGGTTTCTTCATGGCCATCAAGGACCCCAAGATGTACATCATGATGTTCACCCTGACAGCCTACGTGGTTGGCTTGTCGTTCAACGCTTTCTTCGTGAGTCCCCCAAAGCCTTTCCACTTCTCTTGATATTTTTTTAACATCACGGTTAGCCCTCTCTCACCGAAACCCTCGGCTTCGGCTACGTCCCGACCCTGCTCATGAGCGCTCCCCCATGGGTCTTCTCCTGCATATTCTCTCTGTGCGTCGCCTGGAGCTCCGACCGATACCAGGAGAAGGTATGCCCACCAACCTTCCTGCCTCATTTCACCACCACTAACAAACTCAGTTCTGGCACATCGTAATCCCCATGCTTGTCGGCCTAATCGGCTTCATAATCTGCATGTCCACACTCCAAACCGCCGCCCGCTACGTCGCGCTCTTCCTGCAAGCCGGGTCCTACGCCGGCTTCATCGTCTTCTACTCCTGGATCAGCACGTCGTTCCCGCGTCCCCCGGCCAAGCGCGCCGTCGCAATCGCCATGGTCAACGCGTTCAGTCAGCTTGGTAACGTTGCCGGCTCGTATGTCTGGGACCTGGAGGAGAATGGGTACCGCAAGAGCTATGGGATTGTTACGGCGATGTTTGGCGTTGCGATTGTGGGCTGTGCGATCTTTAAGATTGTGCTGGAGCGCCTGAATAGGAGGCTTGCTGAGGCGGAGGTTGCGGAGGAGGCGCAGGGCGCGAGTGCGGGGGCTGGGGCTGGCGAGGATGTTGATGAGAGTTTGAGGATGCATAAGGGGTTCCGGTACCTGGTTTAGAGACAGCAGCTCCTTGGGATTGTTGATACGCAGATTAGGCTGTGGCCCCAGCAGAATAGTCTGCCTGAGAAGATGTTATATGTTACACAACACCCATACGCAGGGTCGAGCCTTTAATAGTTGTTTATGCTACCTGGGCACCTGCTTATATATCTGGCCATGACCATGAACACGACCCATCTCCAAGTCCAAAATCACTACATCTAGACGAGTACAGATACATATCCACCATCACCCAGACAAACGCCGCAACCCAAGTCTCTCAAGTCAAGTCAAGTCCCATAAAACCGATCCCCAAAATCCCCCAACCCCGGCGCAATATGGCTACAATAATAATCCGTCAGCAACACCACCAACAAGTATTTCCTTTCAAGCACCCATCAAACCCAACCCAACCCAGCCCCAGCACAGTTAAACAGAAGAAGACCAACTTACTTCGACCCCGTCAAATCCCCATCCACAGCCGCAGTCACAAGCCGTAACCCAGGAAACGCCTCCATAACCGTCTCAAGCCCATGTCTCGACGCAACCAGATTCACGAATATAATGTCCTCCTCGCGCACGCCTTTCTCCTTGAGCACATTGATCGCCGTACTCGCGGACCCGCCCGTCGCGAGCATAGGCTCGAGGATGAGCACGGCTGTGCGCTTCGTTAGTGGTGCGGATTTGGGGGGAGGAGATGGCGGGGCGTACTCTGCGACCCGATGCTCCCGGGGACCTTCGAGTACAGATGCACCGGGAGGCTGGTTTCCTCGTTGCGTTGGATGAGCAGTTTGCCCATGCTTAGGTTGTCGCTGTGTTCAAATTAAAATTCCCAGTCAGCCTGGCATTGCCATCGCCCTTGTTCATTGCACCAGCACCTCGCTATGTAGCACGGAGCTGGACGGTGGGTGCTCCTTCCACCTGCAGCTGGAGTGGATTTCATGGGCAAGCATCTTGAGGGAACATACCCATAAGCCCTCCGCAGCGCAGCCTCGAAGCTCGCGCCTGCGCGGAGGATGCTCACGCCGCAGACGGGCTTGACCTGGCGTCTTCCGGCGTACGTCCAGCCTGTTGGTGTTTCGACTGTGGCGGGTTCGGTTGGGAGGAGGTCGAGGGCTGTATTCATAAATCAGACGCAATTAGCATGGAACGGACGTTGGAAGTCAGTGGCGGATGGATGTAGGTATCTGCTTAACGTGCCAGCTGCTATGAGCAGATCGGAGACTCTATCGAATGCCGCGGCGAATGCCTTTGAGGAGGTCGATTTGTCGCGGATTGTGGTCATTAGGCTGAGGAGGTAGTTTCCTTGGGGGAGGATTGTCACGCGGTTTGTGTAGGAGGCATCTTGGGGGTTGGGATTGGGATTCGGATCGGAAGTCATTGTTCTTTCAGGACGATAGGTCGAAGCATGAGTGCCGTGAGTATGGTTCTCGAGGAGTTTAGAGGAGGGGATACCTGTACCTGGTCTATGGGGATCTGGTATAGACGTGCGGAGGACTCCGACGATAACGAACATCTCCAACTCACGATAGCTCTGCATTAGGAGCTATCTTATCCTTGACTACCCCACAGCTGCAGGTTCCCCTCTCCAAGGTCGTATTGTGTAAGGCCCTTTGTATACCGTACTAACTAGTAAAGCTATTAATTAAATACTATAAAAAARAATAAAAAAAAAAGTAAGTTATTTATTAAAAGCTAAAGCTACCTAAAAATTTATATAAATATTTTAAGCCTTTAAAAACTTATTAGTAGCCTAATTTTTTTACTAAAATAATAAGGTATTAAGCACCTTACTTTTTTATACTAACGCGGTATATAAAGGTATTAATAAATAAAAACTTTATTAAAATAAAAAATTTTTACTTTTAGCTAACATACCCCCTTAACACCTACTAAATACCAGAAATAAGGCCAGAAATATTTACTAAATTAAGTATTTTAATAAATTTATAATATTACTATTTAGTAAGTGGCTTAGTAAGGCTATTTATAATTATTTAATTAATAAAAGTTTATTTAATCTTAAGATTTTTATACTAAACTTTTTATTAAAATTATAAGTTATAAATATTAATATACTAGAGTTTTAATTATAGTTAAATATTAAAATTAGTAAGAATATTAATAGTTTATTTATTATTATATTAAACTAAGAAATAGTATTAAAAATTAAACTATATTAAATTAAAGACTTAATACTACTAGTAAGTTACTTTAAAGGCCTTAAATAAAGCTAGTAATTTTATTTTAATTATTAAAGTTATAATTAAATATTACTTTATAGCTTTTTATTTAATTAAATTATTATATAGTTTATAAATATAGCCTGCGCTAGAAAAGTAATTAAATTAATTAATAAAGGCTATATTAAAGTAGGCCTTATAAAAATTATATGCCTTTAAAATAAGCTTATTTTTAAAGTTATTTAAACTAGAGTATTTAAGGGCTATAAAGTATATATTATAAAAATAAAAAATAAATTAATTTATTATATATTAATAACGGTCCACTGGATTAACTAGGTATTTTAATAATTAATTAATAATATAAAAAATATTTAAACAAGTAAGCGTGCTTGCATATTTAACTAAGCTAATTTTAAATCTTATTTTTTTAATTTATTAAGGTGTTATAGTACCAGAGTTTAAATAAAACTTATTAAAAAAAAATATTTTTAAAGGTTAGACTATTATATTTAGGTAAAATTAATTTATAATTACTTTAATATAAAAGTCTTAATATAACCAAACCTTGTGCTTTTTTTATTTTAAATAATTTAAATTTTTAAAAATTATTTTACTTTACTAAAATACTAAAGCTTATACTTTACTACTAGTTTTTTTTTAAAAGTAGCTATAGTAGCTCAGCCTTTCTTAATAAAAAGGTTTATAATAATAATATTATTTATATAAATAAAAAGGATTATAAACTTACTAATATAAAGGTATTTTTTTTTAAAAATTATAATAAATCTAAATTTTTATAGTATTATAGCTAAATTAAGTTATTAAAAATATAAAAACTTTTAAAGTTTATAAATAATTTTAAAGGCTTTTAATAACTTACCCCGCTGCTTATAGCTATTTAAAAAGTAAAAATATATTATTTTTTTAAGGGTAGTGTTAAGAAACACGTTAATAATATTTTTTTAATTAAAATTAAGGTTAAAAGTAGTTATAAGCATTATAAAAGCTTTAAAGGCCCTTATTAAAACTATTACTACTTAATTTTTTTTAAAAAATTTTAGTTTTAAATCTTTGTGTATATAAATTCGGGCTTTAGCTTTAATAAAATAATTATTAATATTAAGTTTATAAGTAAAAACTTATAATAAAAAAATTAGCTTATTTATTCCTGCCTTTTATTTATTTATTATTTTTTATACTTTTATTTTATAAAAAGCTCCTAGTTTAAAATTTATAGTTTTTAAAAACTTATTATAAAGTAAATAATTTTTAAGATTGCTCCAGCGCTTGGGAAAAAAAAGTAAATTATTTTAATAAAGCTATTTTTTTATAAGATTTTAATAAAAAGTAAAAAAGGTAAATTAAATATAATTAAGGTTATTTAAATTATTTAAGGGAGTATTATTTAAATTTAAATTATATATATAATTATTAGTATTATATTATTTATGCCTGCGCCTGGATATTTTAAAAAAAAAAGCTAAAATTATTAAAGTTCTACCCCTTAAGCACGCTAAGCTTAAAGGCTAAGTAAAAAAAAAAAAAAAGCTAGGCATGCTTGTTTATTTTTTTTAAGTAATTATTTACTTACTAAATTAATAAAAAAATATTAAAACACTTAGGGGTATAAAATTTATTACTAAGAATTTTTTAAATAAGTTTTTAAAGCTATTTATAAGGCCAAGTTTTATATAAGCCTTTTATAATAATAAGGTTTAGGAGTTACCTTAAAAGTTAGTAAGTATAAAAACTTATTTAGTTAATTAAAGGCCTTTTTTTATTAATAATATTTTTAATTTTACTAGTAGTATTTTAAGCCTTATTTTTTACTTTATACTTACCACTATTACTAATACCTTTTTTTTTTAAAATCTTTACCACCCGTGGCCTATTTGTGTTTAAAATACCTTTATTTTTTTTTTTTATTTAAAAAATTTATTAAAGTTAAGGTTTAGGTTAATTTCTTTAGTTTCACGGTTTTAAAAAAAATATTAAAAACTTAGGCTAAAGGCTCTAAAAACTTAATTTTAATATTAATAGTAAAAAAGGAATTCTTTAAATTATATAGTCTAAACTTATTAAAAATAATATTTTTACAGGCATGTATAAGCTACTTTTTAAAAAACTAGATTTATTAAATATTTAAGGTAATATAGCCTAGTAAGTATTTTAATAAAGTTTTTAATTTTATTTTATAAAAACTTTTTACCTAGGATTATCTTACCCAGGCAAAATAACCTAGTGTTTTAATACTAAAAATATAGGGTTTTTTATTAGTAAAAGCTTTTTATAATATTTTTTAATTTAGTGGCTTAATAAAAATTTAATTATTAATATAAGCTACTACCTTTATAACCTAGGGCTATATATTAAAAAAAATTTTTTTATAAAAAGCTATTATTTTTACTTTTTTAATTAATATACTACCAAAGCACTTAGCTATACTATTTTAAAAAAAAGTATAAAAAGTAAACTAGTTCTAGAGTATACCTTAAAATATAGTAAAGTTAAAAATATTATTATTAAGTATAGGCTTATAATTATTAAAAAAGACCTTGGGAGTAACACTAAACTAGGTTTAAATAAGCTTAGTATATTACTTAATAATATTTTTACACCCGCTTTTTTCCTGGTAAATATAGGCCTAGTAAAACTTAGTATTTTTATTATAAAAATAAGTTACCTACTTTTTTTTATTTATTGCTTTTTTTATAAAAATTAGGTTAAAGTAAACTTAATTAAATAATATAATAGCGGGATCTCTAGGCTTTTTAAATATTTATTAAAAAGCCTATTTATATTTATAAGTATTGCATTACTAAGGCAGTTAAAAACTAGTAATTTAAACTTTTTTAGTTATAATTAATAAGTATTAAAATACTTTATTACTAATATAGCCTAGGCGCTAGTAAAAAGCTTTAAGATTTTTTTTAATATAAATTTTTTAAGTTAAAATCTTAATTTTTTATTAAGTTAAAGTGTTAGCCTTTTTTTACTTTAAGTTCTTTTTAAACTTAACTATCTAAAGGCTAGATAAGTAATTTTTAAGATAAAATACTAGTTTATTATTCTTGGTAATTAAAGTATTAAAATCCTAAAAATATTTAGCTTTTTTAAAAGGCCTAGCTACTAGAATATTAGTATAAAAGCTAGGTATAAAGGCCACTTTATTAAAAGTAAAAGGTATTATTTTATTATTTAAAGCCTTAAAATAAAAAAGTACTAATTCTATACCTTAAATAATAATAGTTATATTTCCTGCTTAAATATTACCTTTTTTTAATTAATTAAAAAAGGTAAATTAGCTAAAATTATTATAAATATAAATAAAGGCACTGGTATTAAAAATAAAGGTATTTTAAAGTATTAAATTACTTTAAATATTTATAACAAGCGTGTAATTATAATATTTTTTTTTTACTATAGCTTAAATAGCTAAAAAAGCTTTTTAAGCTTTTTTTTTTAACTTTTTCTTATTTTTAAAAATTTATTTATTTTTGGCCCTTACCTTTTAAAGTTTCTTATTATATTTATTATTTTTATTAAAAGCTTTACTAACCTTTTTATTTATATTTTTTTTAGGTTTATACCATGGCTTCCTGCGTAATTATATAAAGTATTAATATTATTTTATTATTTAAAAATAGCCATATAAATAAAAAGGCTTGTTATTAATAAGTATTATTTTAAAAAAAATATTTAACTTTTTACCTAAAATTATAAAGGCTATAGCTCCAGCAAAGTTCTTAAAAAAGCTATTAATTATAAAAAAATATTATTAATATTTAAATATAAACTAAAGGTAAGAAATTAAATTAGCACCTTTTTAGTTTAATTAATTAGTATTTTATTTTATATAAAAGTTTAAATACTTACTAATTATCCGCAGGAAGGTTATATTAGCTATTTTATTTTTTAATTTAGGTTAATTAAGGTGTTTAATCTTTTAATAGGTATTTTTATAATTTTAAAGCTAATTATTAATTTTACCTTATTAAATTAAAGTATTTAAGGCTATAAAATAGTTACTAAATACCTTTAGTTTAATTTTAAAATTAATTAAAATAAATTATTACTTTAATTTAGCTAGAACCTTTATAATAAGTTTATTTTTAATAAGTTATTAAATAAAAATAGTAATAGTTTTTTAAATAACTTTATTTATTTTTTAAACTTTAGTATAATAGTGCTTAGTATTAAGCTAGTATTTATTATATATTTTAAAAGCTTTTTTAGTTATATTTTTAGGAGGTAACTTAAAAAAAAAAGGGATTTTTTTTTTTTTTTTTTTAAAAATATTTAGGTTAAAAAACTCCTAAACTCCTACTATTTAAGTAAAATAAAAAATTTAATTATATTAAGCTAGCTAGTTATTCCTAAACTTAAAAATAACTTTTATACTTGTAATATTATTAGTAAAGGTTATAATAACTTTTAAGTTAAGTATAAAAGTTAAAAATTAATTAATATTTATTCTAGTTTAATAAAAAAGGTAATTAATTATAAAAAGGCTTGGTATAGCTTTAGGGCGTGTACTTAAAGGTATAAATAACTTTAAAATATTTAAAAAAAATAAGAATTTAATAAGCTAAATTATTAAGTTAATATCCAGGCTTATAACTATAAGACCCTTTATATATTATATTAACTAGTAAAGCTATTAATTAAATACTATAAAAAAAAATAAAAAAAAAAGTAAGTTATTTATTAAAAGCTAAAGCTACCTAGGGGTTTATATAAATATTTTAAGCCTTTAAAAATTTATTAGTGGCCTAATTTCTTTACTAAAATAGTAAGGTATTAAGCACCTTACTTTTTTATACTAACGCGGCATGTGGAGGCGTTAACAAATAAGAACTCCACCAAAATGAGAGATCTCCACCTTTGGCTGACATATTGTATCTTATCTGTACCTATCTCTACTTGATAGGCACTTGCTCGGGCCATGTCACGCGAGCAAGGTGATGCGTAGCAAGGGTCAGAAGCAAACCTGCACTGCCACAACTGCCGCATATACATATACAAGCTTCATAGATAGAAGAGCAGGCTTGCATGGTAAGACCCCTCATTTCTAGCCATCACTGCCAGCCAGAGCTCAATGTGTACCCTTTGACCTCTGCAAATAATACTCCCCACTCGTAATCCCTCCCCTCATACCTCTTCTCGCTCTCCACCCCAAACGTCCCCGGAATAGCCTCGATAAAGGTATCCTGGTTCGCATGCGCGGAGAACCTAATATGTAACCGTCAGCAATCACATACCACCTCACTGTTCCCGGAAAGCGCAACTCACGCTTTACTAAGCCTCGCCGGCCAAACCTCCCCCTCACTCTGGACAGGCGGCTGCACAACCTGATGCACCGTCGACCTGATGGTATCATTACTCCACCGCGCCAACAGATCACCAACATTAAAAACGACCACATCCTCCATGGGCGTCGTATTCGCCTTTGGCAGTCTTAACCTGCAGTCCACCGGCAGAGTCCTGGAAAAGGAGCGTGATAGCGCCATAGTCCGTATGCGCACCCAGGCGCACCGCGCCAGGTTTCAGCGTGAACATGCCTTTCCTTGTCTCCGGGTAATGGAGTAACCAGAGCTTATGGTCGCCTTGCTCATGTGCCCATCAAAATACGCCTCGTGAATATCAAGACCCACGGGCATTAGCGCGCATGACTTCAATGAAGGCTGCGGCGCAGGCGTCATAGAAGACTGGAATTGTCTCTTGAAGCCCAGAGCCTCGGCATGACCCGGCCAGATATTCGGGTACTTGCGGTCCCCTTCGCGCCGATATGCAATGTCTCTTTGATATCGGCGGCGTCGGAAGAGAGCTTTTCGAGGCCCTGGGCTGCATGGCCGCGGTTTGACGACACGGCCGGTTGTGAAGGAGTTGAAGTCGATTAGCTGTCCGGGATTGTTAGGGTTGTGATAGATGGGAGAAAAGGGGAGGAAAGGAAGTACTGGGATGGAGAATTCTTCTTGCCTGGTGTATGCCATTGTGGCGGTACTTGCTTGTCAGCTTGTCTGCAGGTGTGTGTGAGGTGCAGGGCCGTAGGGTAACTGACATACCGGACCCAGGCACTACTGTATCGAACCAGGCCATAGCATGGCCATGTATATCAGTCCCTGCAAGATATAGAACGGCCACAGCAGGTAGACTTCCAGAATAGAGCTTATATCGTCGGTCGGACGTCACCGTTATCAGACGCTGGGCATGTAGCGATCAGGCAATGTTGATTCATGGCCCTGGCATGAGCTCTTATTGGTTATGGAGTAGGACGATCAGGGACTAGACTTTAGGTGCAGTTAGCGAGGCGTGCATACAGCAGTTCTTGTTTGTTGTCTAACTTGTTCGAACTGTATGTACGGATTAGGGCTTGATCCGGGACTACTGCGTAAACGGGACAACGGAATGGGTATCCAAAGTATATTGTTCAGTCCTATATACGGGGGGGACAGGATCGGTATCATGACTGCAAAGTTGTTTTTTAACCATAAGGTGAAATGTCGAACATCGTCTAAGCCATCGGCTTCTCCATGGGCTTGATAACGCCCTGCTTGATCATAACACGAGGCTTGGTCGAAGACTGGAAAGTCTCCTTGGTAGACCATTCGGGACCAATCGGGATACGCAGCGAGCGCTCGTACTGCTGCTTCGACTCGAACGGATGAGGGAGCTGCGTTGCGAGGTACTTGTTGTTCTGCACGCGCAAAAGCGTTAGCCGGGCGCCATATTAGAGTAAAGTGAAGCAAGTAAGTTTGACAGGGTACGCATACCTTCTTAACGCGCTTCTCGTTAATAATAACCCGAGAAAGCTTCGCGTCCTTGCGGTTCTCAGGTTTCACGCCCTCAACCTTCGTCAGGACGCGCCTCTGCCGCTTCTTCTCCTTCCTGCTTACGCCGTCGCCTGTCCACGCTCCCCAGCCGGGGAGTGTCTCGTCGATGACCTTGTCGCCCTCGTCCTCGATCGTGTCGAGTTTTTCCTGCTCGAACTCTTGGACGACTTCATCGCCGGCGAAGGCGCGTTTCACGAGGTCGTGGTTCTTCAGCAGGACGGGGACCTTGGCTTCGTCGTCGCTGGAGTCTTCGTCTTCTTGCGTGGTGTGTCGGGTTGCTGCTTTGGCTTTGGGAGCTGGTGCCGCCGCGGATTTCTTTGAGGACTTCGCGGGCTTGGTCTCGGGGGCGATGTCGATGGTTTGCTGGGCGTCGTCGGTCTTTGAGCGGCGCTTGTCGTTTGATGACGGCATGAGCCAGGGATTCTCTTCCTCGGCGTCGGATTCGGGTTGCGGAGCAGGCGCAGTCTTCGGTGGAGCGCGAGGCTTGTCGTTTGCTTTTGTGGTTGTCTTGGCTTTGCCGGTGGCCTTTGCCTCTGGCTCTGCTTCAGGCTCGGGCTCCTCGTCTGACCCTGGCGCTTCCTCGAACTCGTTCCGGTTGATTTGCTTCTTGCCCTTGTCCTTGTCATCCTTCTTGTCTGTCACACCGAACTTGCGGCGGCCCTCTTCCGACTCAGCCTCTGACTGGGACTCCTCGCCGTGTAGCTCACGGTTCAGGCGGCGGATCTCGGCGTCGTTTTGCGCCTTGCGGGCAGCGTCCGCATTTTGCATGAACTTCAGACCCAGAAGCTTGGAATACGGACCCTTGGCCTCCTCCGCGGGCTCGTCACCTTCGAGTTTGCCGAGTTTCTTCAACAGCTTGCGCTTCTCGGTATCGGAGTCTGGCTCGTCCCAGGGGTTCTCGTCTTCAGAATCGGACTCGGAGCTCGAACCAAGATAGTCATCATCGCCTCTGCTCACACGCTTCCCTTCAATGCGCTGCCGGAGTTCTTCCTCGCGCTGAGCCAGCTCAACAGCACCGTGCCGGGCATCTTCATCCCACGCCGTTCGGCCAGTCTGCTTCAAACTCTTGGCCCACTTGCTCTCCTTGTGCTTGTTGCCCATTCGTGCCTCGGCGCGTAGCCGTTCGTTCTTCTCACGATCCTGCTCATCAACATCTATACCGGCATCAATGAGAGCTTGACGCTCCTTCTGCTCCATGCGCTCCTGCTCCTTTCGGTGAACACGGCGGTAGGATTTACTCTTGATCTTCTTGACTCGCCTCGCGCGGACTTCCTCTCGGAACATCAGGTCGCGGTGCTTGCGCAGCTCCGCGCGACGAGCTCGAATCTCTTCAATAGGGAGTTTGCGTGCTTCCAGTTCTTCAAACTCCTGTACCTGATCCTCGGCGCTTTTTCCTTGTTTGTCGGCAAGACCACTTTCCACGAGGATATCTTGGATTGTGTTCTCGAGACCAGTTTGCGGTTTAACAATACCCATGCGGTGCACAACTTGAGCATCTGGGTCGGGTAGAGGGAACGTCAAATGTTCAGCCCGGCGGTTGGCTTTGACCGTCTCGATCCAGCGGCCGAGAGTTTCTTTGCTCTTCTCATAGGCGGCTTCTCGCTCGAGGCGGTCCTGCTGACGCTTGGCGAGAGGCGCGTCCAGCTTGCCGGGGATGCCAGTCGAAGTTTTCTGATCTTGGATAGTGGTATCGACATGTTTGAGGGAGTTCTTGAGGCGGGAATCAGTGACCGAGGGCAGGAGGTCGGCGACTGTGAGCTTTCGTGTAGATGACAATCCGAATTCAGACGGGTTGAGATGTTCTTCGCCGCTCTTCTTTTTCTTTGCCGGTTTGACAGTCTCTGCTCTCATAGAATCCACGAAGCTTTGTAGTTTCGTAAGTCCATCTTCATCTCCAATGTCGTCGTCGTCGGACATCGACAGATCGGATCCGTCTTGTTCGTCATCGGACTCATCCTCGTCCTCGCTTTCTGAACCATCCTCCTCGGACTCGTCGCTATAGTCGCGCTTCTTAGATTTGGCACCCTTCTTAGCCTGAGTCTCTTCCTCGGCGGCGTTCATATCCCACGCAGCGACCAAGTCAATGGCGTCCTCTCCGAGGCTGTCGTCGTCGTCATCATCCATATCCTCATCCCCATCGGATTCTTCATCCTCCGAAAGATTGATCTCCCGCTCACGCTTTGGCTTCTGAGCCTTCGCCTTCGGCTTGTCCTTGTACGTGGAACTTCCGCGGAAAGTGAAGCCCTCAAACCTCTCCTCGTCGCTCTCGCCCATAGCCTCATCACTGTCCAGCTCGCTGTCGTTATCACTGTCGACACCGATCTTCCACTTGTTCCCTTCACCATCGCTGCCCTCGTTCGAATCTATCTCGGAATCGTCGTCCTCGCCAGTGCGGCGACGCTTGTTCCCCGGCCCATCTGAATCGTCCTCGTCGCGATCGTTGTTCCGCTTGCGCTTGAAGTAGTCGTCGTCATCACCAAGGCGGTTCCGTCGGATCTTGGCTCGTGTAGGGTTCTCGGCCTCCGCGATTGAAAGAGCATTGAGGATCTTGCCGGACCGTCGCTTCGGCGCGGGCTTTTTCTTCGAACCTTCTGAGTCGCGCGGACCGCGCTGGTTGGTGAACTTGCGAGGCATTGCGGCGCCGGATAATAGAAGACGCAACAATTGAAAAACCTCAGCAAGAAAAGGTTCCCTTGGAGCTGTTGAAGGTAGCTTGGTAGTGCCTCGAATAATTTTGCTTATCGATGGCGGCAGAAAAAAATAATTTCTTGGCAAGGCGGAGAGCGACTCCGACCGCCAGCCGACCTGAACTCCGCATTCTCCGTTGACAATGCTTGTTGATTAGAGATTCAGAACGTTCGCTTTTTACATTCTTTACCGAAATGAAGCCGTCTCAGCCGATGATGGCGCGTCTGCGCCTGACGACGAAGCAGGTCAATGGCGGTTACTACAAGGGTAACCGGACCGGTTCGATGGGTTACTTTGCGAAGAACGGATCATACGTGATTGACTGGAAGAAGGTCCGCACATATGTTGTACCTGAGAACCTGAGCTCCTTCAAGGTATGCTATACGTCGCATTCTCGATTGTATTTCGGACTTAGGCTGATTGAATGCAGCTCACTCCCTTCGTCACGAATCTCATGAACCCCACAAAGAGCAAGTACACACAGGAGGTTGAGCGGAACGGACGCACCTACACAGTCGACACGGCTCTCCGAGGAAAGGATTTCCTTGAAATCTGGTCGACGGATAACGGCGAGGAGGTGGTCAAGCAGGAGGAGATCGATAAGAAAGAGGAAGCGCGCCAGGGCAAGGTTGCGGCCAAAGCTGCTAAACGTGCCGAAGCTGGCAAGGCGTAGATGACGGTGGTACTCTCTGAGGGATTTTGACATTGAGGTAGGGCTTACATTCGAATACTAGACTAGCAATGTTCTAACAAATCGTCAAGTATCCTGTGGTGGACGAACGGCCGATCGACCCGTACCCGGACACCTGCCTACGCAACGGCAGTGACACATGGAGTGTATTATATGTACAGTATTGGCATTGGATGTCGACAATCGACACAACTGCGCCTTGGGGATGGCTACTTTGAGCCTACAAGCCGCCATCACCCCAAGGCTATATTGGTTCGCTGGCGCATATCTCGGGTTTCATGATAGCATGGCTGCTTTTCTTTTTTATCTTTGGCGATGTGACAACACATAGAACAGTTTACGGATACCCTGAATTCGACACAAGTTCGGGCAATGTGGGCCATTTCTTGAATTACTTCCTAGGCCACGAATAGGTAGCTAGACGACGGAGTGAGCAAGGGAAACAACACTGCCAGTTTCCAAAGCCGCCTCTCCAACTTTCTACTCCCCGCCCAGCACTCACAACGAAACTTGTATCTCGTTGACACCTCGAACTGTTTACACAGGATCCCCACCTTTTCTTTGCTTAACGGCCTTTTGAACTAACGCATACGGCGCTTATTACCCGACCATTATTGGTGCCCGTTCTTCCTCCGCTAACGACCATCACAACCATGAGCAACGGACAGTCTCCTCCGTAAGCTCCGCCGATATGCGGGGAAACTCTGAGCATTTAATCGTCAAGCGTGCTTAATGGCCTTGAAATATCGAATGATCTATGCCGTCAAGCAAGGACCGGGCCTGGCTTTTGCCATAATGGCGCCAACGGCTCGTCGGCTTCTACATATACAGTGACTTCCCAGCCATTATATCTCAGTCGCGTCTGAGTGTTTCTGCTCGTCGATTGTTGAATTTGCTTCTATTCGCGTACTCATAATTGTTCATCCGCCTTGACTGAAGGCCGCTACAATGCCAGGCTCAAAGTTCACCACCGAAGACCCCTTCACCTACCACACCAGCCTCAATTCCTACCATGAGTATACTCTCGCCTCTTCACGCCATCCACGCAGATATACAGAATCTACCATAGCCAGATCAGAGGCGCTAAAAGATGCCCTCCCACACCCCCAAAGCCTTCCCCAACGGCACCCCCTAGGCCTCTACCCCGAGCGCATCAGCGGGACGTCCTTTACCGCAAAGCGCGCTGTCAACAAGCAGACATTCCTGTACCGGATTCTACCCTCAACCGCACAGTCATCATGGACGAAGATGCCCGAGCATCCGCTCAACCACCGCCCGCACTCAGCAGCTCTCAACTTTGTCCCGGACCAGCTTATATGGCCGCCTGCTGAGATCCAGGAAGACAAGACATTCCTCGACGGACTTCAGATGATTGGAGGTGCTGGAGATCCCACAACCAAGAACGGCGTCGCGTATTACGTCTATACGTGCGGCATTGGCATGGACGAGAAGCAGGCGTTCTACTCAGCGGACGGGGACATGCTCGTCGTTCCGCAGACGGGCGTGCTCGATATTCAGACTGAGATGGGATTTATCCGGGTTCGCCCACGCGAGATATGTGTCGTGCCTAGGGGTATCCGGTACCGGGTTTCTTTGCCTGATGGCCGGTCTCGCGGACATGTTATCGAGGCGTACTCCGGGCACTTCGATCTCCCTGAGCTTGGGCCCATTGGGACCTTGGGGCTGGCGAATGTGAGGGATTTTGAGATTCCAAGGGCATATTATATCGACACCGAAGAGGTCACGGAGGTCATTGCAAAGTTTGGCGGCGGCATCTTTAAGACTCATATTAAGGGAAGCGCGTTTAGTGCCGTGGCGTGGCATGGGACGTATTATCCGTTCAAGTATGACTTAGGTATGTCCTTCTCCTCTTCGCCAGTTAGAGAGACTCAACATCTGACGCTGCAGGCAAATTCATGCCCATCGGCTCAACACTCTACGACCACCAAGATCCCTCAATCTACACCGTCCTCACCTGCCCCTCCGACAAGCCCGACCACGCAGCGGTTGATTTCCTCGTCCTCGGTCCGCGCTGGATGGTCATGGAAGACACATTCCGGATCCCGTACTTCCACCGCAACACCATGTCCGAGTTCTCGTCCGTGATCAGCGGGGGTTTTGATTTATCCCGTGTCCCTCCAGCTATGTACGGAATGAGCGGGCTGCATAATTTCCTTAGCCCGCATGGGCTGTCGGCGGCTGAAACGGAGAATGCTATGCAGAAGACCCTAAAGCCGGAGCGAGTGCCGGATGATACGATGGCGTTCTTGGTGGAGAGCTGGTGAGTTCCTTCATTTCCGCTGCCTTACTCTGGCTAGGACTGACTTGCACAGCTACCCTATTGGACTGACGGACTGGGCGTATGGGAATTCTATCAAGATCACCGGTGGTGATGATTTTGGTGGATTCAAGAGGCTGTTCAAGCCTAAGATATAACCCTACGGGTTCTGACAGCGAAAGAAGTTTATATTGTAGGGCACTGGTAGCATGATACATGAACTATCTAGGATTGTACCTGTAAACTTCTTCGATATACACATAGTGCATCTTAGCCTTGAATTGAGCCTGGAATTGGATGCAGCAAACCCCAGCCACCCCTGGCTTAGGCTGTCCCAATATAGCACGATGGCAGCTGCCTATGTGAGAGGGCAATCCTCCGCTTTCTCTTGGTCCCAGGTTTTGATCGTTTGCTCTTGTACCTACACCATCATCTACTAATTCCTGCATTCCCACTCCCTCGCAAAGCAATCAAGTCCCTCTCCCTACCCTAGAACCCTAACTGATAGAGACACCCCAGGTAACAGAATGCCGGATCCCCCATCATCCCCCAAATCTCCTTCCAACCAGCCCAGCAACCCAACCCAAATCGCAAGCCCACCACTCGCCCATCCAACGCCGCCACAACCAGCCCAAATCCTCACCTTCATCATCCGGCCCTCCGCACGCATCGAAGACGCCAGAACGTCCGACGGAGAACCCTGGACCCAAGCACTCGATATCATACGAGAATGGCCTGGGTTCCGCGCTCTGTATTGGGGAAGACGCGTTGAGATAGAGGATGAAGAGAAGGTGCAGGTCGTTGTTTGTAGGTTTACCTACTACCCCCTATGTACCCCCTATGTACCCCCTATGTAGCCCCTATGTACCTCCTAAGTGGTTTATATAATGCGGCAGGACAAATATTAGGGTACCTAGCTGACAAGGATACGGTAGTCCGGGATAAGATATCCCAGCACCACGCCTTCCTCCCTTCAGGCCGCTGGGTCTCGCTCCAACAGCTTCTTGAGCCGCTCTACCCGTCTTCTCCAACGCAGAAAGATCGACCTCAGCGCATGGGTAGGATAAGGCATGGGCGCTTTAGACAATGGATTTTCCTCAGGTTAAGGGGTGTTTCGGATGTACGGGGGGCTGGGTTGAGTCTGAGTCTTTTCCTCAGCAGCCCGTTGGTGTGGGGGGTGAGGATGGAGGTGAGAGGAAGGGAGGGAGGTTGAGGGAGTATGTAGTGTATGTTGGGTGGGAGAGTATCCAAGACCACGATGCGTATCATCATGCCCAAGACTTCGCGCGGAAGAGGGTGATTCTCTCTCTGCATAATAGTGGGTGGAAGGGGTATGGGCATCTGAGGTTCGTCGGGTCGAGGGTGAAAGGTGTGGATTTTAATGAAGAGAAGAGGAGGAATAGAGGAAACTTGTAGATAGCTAGCTACGCTGTGCTAATATTATTCAAACTATTTTTAATGCAGTGTGACATAGCGGTAAGGTGGTCAACTGCTGTTCGAAGCTGCCAGTATCAGATGTGAGCCTTATTAGATGCCTCCGTTTACCATCGAATCTGCTCAATGTCCTTAGGCACCTCCCAGCCATGAGCAATGCAAACTCGCTTATACTCACTGATTGCTTCACCAATGCCGTATTCCGCAGTCTTGGAGTGAAGATCCAGTCTAGCCGGCTGAGGCACTTCGTTTGTGATCGCCAGCTTGACTTGCAGAAGCACGCTCTCGATCGAGAACGACGGTAGCCAGCCCGTGTTCGTGAGCAGCTCCATGCACATTGCACCGCCAGCAGTAATATGGCCGCCGCCGCCATGCGCGAATCTAAGGAAACGTGGCCGGATAATCCTCAAGAAGGGCGGCGCAAGAGGATACGACGCCGGAAAACGCATTTCCATAACAATGCTATTGATCTTGGCATTTTCAAGGTCTTTCGCAATCGCCAAATTCTTATCGAAGCTGTGCAGCTCGACGATCCATTGGTAGACGTTGTCGATGAGATTCCCGTTGATGTACCAGCCTAGTTCGTGCAGGGGCTGCTCCTCCTGCGTCTGAAGGGCTTGACGTAGAACTTTTTGCAGAGTGCGCGTTGCCCGGGGCGTTGCGTAACTTGGTTCACCAAGGAGCTTGATTGTCTTGATGTCAAGGGTATCTGGTTGGAAGGATGTTAATGATTCGTCTATCCGCAGACGCTGGCTACGGCCATTTGATTCGTCGTCAGAGAGCAACATCAACCGGTCTTCTGGGAGGGTTTCCACGCTGGCAGCATCGTCGTCATCCAGCGTTAGAGTGGAAGGCAGCTTGCGCTTACCCTTCTTGACCGTCTTGGACTTGGGCTCACCTGGTGGAGGCTCTGTTACATCCTTAGACCGGTGGCTGTTTGTTGCGGAGATAGGGATTGACAGCGCATTATGTGTTTCCCCATAGACCAGACGGGTCGGATCCTGAGCGTACACGTTTTTCGGTGCCTCACCCTTTAGTCGTATTAGGTGTCCCGCTGATGCAGGCGCCACGTCGACGAAAAGGTATCTCGTTTGGACCCAATCCAAATGCTGCACCACATAGCAGCTTGAATGGCAGACGAACTCTGTCGGAGCATTGACTACCTCGTTCAGGGCAATAGCCTTTGAGACTTTCAGCTCGCTGTGCGGCCAGAACATTGAGGACGAGTGATCGTAACCCATATGCCGACTACAATAGCCGAGCGAGGTTTGAAATTGCGGAGCCATGTATATACCATTTCCACAACTTCGGCCGTTGACAACTTCCTTGTAGTGGAGGCCCTCCCGGACGATGCTGTGCCAGTTGTGCAGTGGGCTTCCGTGCCACGCAAATAGAGTTGGGTATTTTGAACCAAGTCGAGCAGCTGTCTTATTGACGGCCGTCACAAATCGCTGTTCTTTGTCCGGGGCCCCTTGCGCAAATCTGAACTGTATGTATGATTCCATGCCCGGTATCTGGTTTTGCGGGTTATCGTCATACATGATCACCGATCGGTTGGATCCGACAATCCATTGTAAGATGTAAAGTGCTGAGGGATGGATCCTGCCTTGCCATTCTGACAGAGGTCTGAGTTGACCACCGCGCTTTTTCTCTATATAGGCTTTCATCTCCATCACGCTAGGGAGTGTATCCAGAAGATCCAATGCCGTATCACTCTTCTCACGCTCAGTGAGCGAGCTAAAATCCGTGTCGTAAATAACGAATTGTACGTCCCCTGTGTAGGGCTCTTTTGGTTTTGATTGCGATTGCGACGCCCAGCGAGGAATCAGATCCGAAAGGATGATACTAGGCTGCGCAGAGACATTTTCGACCCTCGCATGCAGCTCGTTCCGGTTTCGCGTCGTGACAGTTGTCTGAATTTGCGGCTGAGTCGACGTCGACTGTGCTATAGTACTGGGAGTAGGGGGGTCCAGAAGAATCACGATCCAATCGCCAACCTTGATATCATAACTTTTGTTCATGTAGATGATCGGCCCGAAATTGATATTGTATGTGAGCTTTCCCTTACAGATCGCAGGATTCGGTAGCGCGGACCTGCTTGGGCTAGGAACATTGAGTGGAAAGCCAGTTGGAAAATCGTTGAGTTTGTTTGAAGCAGCCCTGTGATAGGCAAAGCTGACGAGCAAATCGACGACATATGGCTGTGACGAAATTTCCCACTCCAAGCTGGGTCCCATTCCTAGAGACATGTACTGATAGAGACAGAGCCCATTCGAACACACGAATGGCTTGAGGGCTTCGAATCCGGCGTCGATCTTACAGTAGCAATTGAGACAGAATTCGGTGCATCTGACGAAGCGGCGAAGCGTAAACTGCATGGCGACCAGGAGTAAAGAGATGTCAAATGGATCTTCAGCATTCGCAAGGTGGTCCTCCTGCAAGAAGCTAGGTGGCGACCCTCGCCAGACCTCGGGCTCAAAGTACCTTGAGTCGCTTGTTGTGTCATTGGCGGCTTGGAGCCTTCCTTGGCCGTCGTTCATGTACAACTCTGCGCCAGTCCACGTGAACCCCTTCTCCAGACGATACCTGACGATGTCCGTAAAGCGACTTTTGAGCAGGGACTGGAGAGACTTGCCAATAAAGATTGAGTCCAGCACTGGCTCCATCCTATCTGTGTTGATATCCTGGTCCGGGCCAACCACCCCAGGTGTAGCTCCAGTTGCAAACACATGGACCGCGGAATCCAGACTAGGCTTGTATCTCTCACAGACACCAGCGTGGAACTGAATCAGACCGGATGCTGCCGATCTGTGGACCACATCTGTTAGACGCCGGTAACCGTACGCATAGCGAATGAGGAGGACAAAATATTGGGAGGGCCGAACACCCCATGCCTCCATGGCCTCAGCAGAGATTCCAAGACTGGAGATTCGTCGTGAGGCGGAGAGTATGACAGCTCCATCCGGGTCGCCCAGAATGCCTACACGAAAGCCTGCATTTCGAGCTTTGCGGAGGTCAGCCCGGATGCACTTCTTCACGTCGATAGAATTCGCTGAAGAATTAGCTTCCAGGCCAGTATCGCTGGTCTCCTCCCAGTCCATCTCGTCGGCGAAGGAATCTAGGTCGCTACCGCTACCTGCTAGGAAACCCCAGGAGTCATCGTCGGTCGAGGTAGCCTTATCCAGACACGCGGTTACAGCCTCAAGAAACTCATCAAGGGGAAGACCGTGGAATGTGTCAAGTGAGTCCTCCAAAATCCTGGGAACGGCCTCGGGAGTATCCTCCGAGACGGTGTAAACGAAGTAGTGATGTTCTCTGGGATATTCCGCGGTGTCTATGAGAAGTCAGCCAAGCGCAACGAGCCCCGCAACTGGATCTCTACCTGGAACTGCGACATCAAGGTTGATGGAGTGAGAGCCGTCGGGTGAGGTGTAAGTGAAGTAAAAAGCGCCATCTTCGCTTCCGCTCCTGACGTCAGTCAATTGAGGGAATGCGTTTGGCGAACAAGCTTCCTGGAGCTCTTTCTGAAAATCTTTCCGTGGCATGACGATGAAGGAGTATTGGTGTCATATACGGTGGGCTCTTGGGAATCAGGATGGGTTAGAAGAGTTTTTGCAGGAGGAGGCCATGTTTAAGCCAGCTGTTTGATCATGCGGGGGAGAAAGAAGGTGAGGAAGTTTAGTCCTGGGAGTGGAAGGAAGTCAAACCCGGCCTCATTGTTTACTATACAGTGTTAGCGGCGCCGAGGGGCGTTTGGTTACCAATGTTACCAATGTTACACCGCCCGTTAGCGCCCTGTAGCCCTACAATGTATTCGTATTACACTTTGGCTCTGGCTCGGGAAGTTACGACAGCTTCATTGTTCAAGAACAGGCATAAAGAGCAGTTGCTCTTCAAACAACCTTGTTTCATTCTTCTAACAAAAACTCTGACAAATCCCAGAGGAAGTCACAGGTAAGCAAGGTTCTCGCAGCAATCCGCATCAGCCATGACAGAGAAGTTGCTCGTGTTACTAGGTATCGATGTGCCTAGTATGGATAGGTGCCTGGGTTAGGCAGGCATTGCTGCTCAGGTAGGCAGCGATAACGTTTTATAGAAGCCTCAGATGAACAACAGATTTGTCCTTTGAGTCACCAATAAAGAAGCTTAAACAATTCATGAAGCTATATTTGGACCCCAAACAGCAGCCCATGATACCCAGAAACGCACTTGAACCAAAACAAATCAATCATCAACCAAATGGCTCCCAACAACGCTCATACACCAGTCAATAAAGGCCCCTTGTGCGGCCCATAGCAGAAGGATCATCACCATTTGTATCAAGTATGGCCGACCCTTCCGCAGCTCGAGCAAGTTGTGAGCTGGACCCCTATCCCATATAAGTCCAATCACACCTTACCCACGCATGTTGGGATTGGTTTTGGATATCGCAGCCAATTCGCGTCAATGCATGTCGCAGCTTTGTCACCTCCAAAACACCTGTAGCTGGATTGATTTCGGGGTCGTCCATGTACACCGTGATCCCAGGTTTGACTCTTCTAAGTGCTGGTTTTGCTTCTATCATGTTTATTCCAAGACCCGGAGATGGCCGTGTCCGGGGACAATCCAAGTCTGACTCAAGCAAATACCAGCGTTCACAGCGTGCGATATTCCTAGGTACGCGCGAAAGAGTATCTTTGCCAAAGACATCTGAACAAAGGACAATGAACAGACATTGCCCCCAGTGCTGGATCTCTATCTCGATGTCCAACTTTCCAAGATAATCCAAAACAAGCTGGAACATTTGATCGACCTTGCTATCTTCCCAACGAAGATCAAAACTGTCCGCGACATCTATACGGGATTGTCTGTAGCGCCCATATGACATGAAGCAGGGCTAGTCAAGCGGATTCTCAGTAAAGTAGAAAGGCACGCCTACGATCTTGATGGGCCACGGCTTTGGAGGGAGTTCCGAGAAATGAAAGTTCAGAATGTGCTCGTTGCAATCGACCCTCTCGGTATGAGGGTAGAGTTTGAGTAGTAGTGATCTTCCGTGTCCAAGGAAATGTTTGTTGTTCTCGTGGAGATCAAGGGTAAGGTAATAATAGAGCGGAATTATTGCTTCGTGCTAGGGATTTCAAGCGCCGTCTCGTCTCTGTGTTCTTGTTAGCAGCGGTGCTAGTGCGATCCAAAGATTGGGCCTGGGATATGAAGGCAAAAGATGAAACCATGATGATGAATTCGATAACTGCAAGATGTCTTATCGACCTGATCGTTGGTTATCTGCTCTCACTTGGGCAAAAAGCTGGCAGCTTAAGAGTTGTGACCAAGTCCGGAGAAAAAGAGCTAGAAGCTCGGAAGATCTCTCGATTCGATCTGGTGACTCAAAAAGTATGATGCCCAAAGGGTCTGTTTGGATGGAACTTCATGCCGAGAGCGAACTGTTATCAAATAACACCCAAGCTTCCAGTTACCCATTACAGGATTTTTGCGCTGTCGCTGGACGGCATTGGATTGATAGGAGTTCAATGTCTTCAGATACATTCAGCCTGTCGTTTGCCCATTAATGAGAGAATCAAAGCATACCATAACCAGTACGGAGTAGAGAGAAAGGAGAAGGAGGGTGGATGGAGTTATGTAAGCAGCAGCAAAGTGCCAAGCCCTGGGTGACTGACGAGGACGTTCTGTCGGATCACTCTCTCATGACTGATTTAACCATCTGGCCATCCCATCCCGCCTAACCAGGAACTAGCAAGACTACTTCTCACAGGTCAAGTCTTGCTTATACCTATTATGTCTGCTTAGTTATCTTTTTCAAACTGCTTTGGTCCTCCTTGCGTGATGGGCTGTAGAGGCATCTGGAACCTACATGTCCACGGTAAACATTGTTCCTCGTTTGAACCTACAAATTACACCTTGCTCATGATGACCAGGAAAGTGGTATCGCTATTACCATCCAAGGGGACATATTACTTACCCTGACTATGCTGCTACCTCGGGAATGATCAAAGAGTTCATCCAGAAGTCCGAGCTTCGTGATGGATGGGAGCCAGTCCCGTGCCCAAGCCCGCTGCATTCTACCCTGTCCTATGTTTACACCATCGATATAGATTCAGATATTCTTACCATCTCCGAATGGATCTCGGAGCTGACGCCAATGGCAACCAGACTAAACCTCACGAGGGCTCTCGAAACCACGTGTCTTCCTTTGATGGACTTCGTCCCTGTATCTAAGGCCGTCATCAACCCCGCCTCGGCGGGCAACCGATCATCAGAAAGTCCAAGCAATGAAGTGCTGCGCTTAGATATAGGAATGCCGACCCCAATGAACGAGCTGCAGGAGCAGTTCCTTACAGACTTCTTGTTTCTCTGGCGGTTTTACATCGACGATCCGCTGACATGGTATTTCGATTCTCCCGTCTTTCGCTTGATATCCATGGCCTTCCTACGCCTGGCCTCTTGGGATTTTGAAGTGTCGGGATCCGATACTTACAACGACCAGCTTCCCATTGACTTCGCATCAGTACCGCGGTGGAGCCAAGCGGAAGAAAATATATTTTGGTTTCATGGTTATCTAATCGTTCTCTGCGAGGCCCTCGACTCAACTATCGCAAAGGGTGAAGCAGTCTCAAAAGCTCAAGATTTCCTTGGCCAATCGTGTCCTCGGGACCGAGCGCGCTTGATCCTCGTCTCACCTAAACAGATAGCTTTTGTGGAACTTACGACTAACGGCACTCTTGCTACCGACAGTTTACCATGGCTCACTAACACATCAGCGACCGAATGCTCCGTGGGCGCTCGAGCTCTCCTTCGTATCTTGACCTCGAACTGTTGGAAAAGCCCCCAGGAAAATAGAGAAAGGTGGGGATTTCATCTACCCCCCGAACTGCTGCGGACAGTTATGGATTATCTTAATCCAAGGGACGCCGTAGCCTTTGCGCAAGGCTCTCTGGTTGCTGAAGAATGCTACTACCGCTCGATACCCCAATTCGCCAATATGAGAGTACAAAATTACCGCCTGAGTATCCCATGCTGCGGCAAGCGTGCTGGTCTAGAAGCAAGTGGTGTTCGTTGCGCGTCTTGCTATGCCTGGTATCACTTGCGGTGTGTTGGTCTGATGCAGGATTCATCCTCCACCAATTTCATTTGTGCTAGCTGTACGGAAAAGGAATCCAACAACGCCCTTTGTCCTGGAGGGATAAACCTTGCAAGCCGACGACTTAAGAGAATCGGAAGCCGAATCATGGTTGGAAACTCAGCCCATTCCCTTGCCTTGCGCCTCGCCAAACCTTCTCATATGCGTCCAGAACTACGATTTATGGGTGACGCCGCCCTCTCACGAAACCCTTCACTGGTTGACTACGTTCTTGTCTTTAATGGCGTGTTCTCTGGTCTGGCTTACGGGTTGGAAGCATGATGTTAATAGTATCAGGTCCCAAGGGCTCAATGTCCTGGACAAAGTTCCCCCACAGTAGGTGTCTATCCAAGTATACGTAAGTTTTGAGCGGCCCAGGAAGATAGCCAGCTTGGGACTAATTGGCCTCGTTTGCCGCTGGATATATTGATGCGCCTAGTAGAACACATTGGGTATGTATATTCCAAATACCTCTGCAACTTCTTGCACATTCGGGGTTCAGCGCGCTCCCAGAAGATAGCTAGACTCGGTGACTGAGAAGCGCTCGGTTGTTGAGCTTGTGGAAAAGGCCTCCCAGCAAAGAACTGCTCTAATCCATACCTTGAGGCTAGAGATGGGGCGCAGGGAGTAGGCACGTTTAAGGTTCGTTGCGTGACGTACCTACACACCCCCTCTTCTCCTTCGACAAGCTCTTTACATCATTCCATTGAACACATTCTCTCCAGCAATTCAACTCGTCAGACCCTGTGTGATATCGAGAGCCCCGCCAATATGGACTTTGAAGTTCGAAAAAGGGACATAGCATTGCTCCTGTGCGCCTTTGTTGGCATGAAACCTTGCATTCCTGGAGCTTGGATAATAAGGGAGATCTATGACAGAGTCATCGACGAGCCAAAGCCACGATCTAATGTCGGCCCGCCAGAGCAGCCTCGTCGCTCTTTAGCATCACCGCTAGAAGGGGACTCTGTCCGCCGGCATCAAAAGCCCTATCCCCGATCGCAAATACAATCCGCCCTCTTCCGCAAATTTCCCGCTGAGATCCGACTAATGGTATATCAATATGTTCTCACACATCATCACCCACTCTTCATTCACCGCACAGGCGATCGACTATACAGCGAGAGGATTGACAAATGCCTCGAGGCCCTTTGCCCGGATCTATCCCCAATAGTCATTCGCAAGATTGAAAAACGCCACAAGAAAGACCCGAGGCAGACGATTATGGGGCTTCTTACTAGTTGCCGTCGCGTGTAAGTTCAGAAGCTTGTAGTATCAGGACTTATCATTGACCAAATATAGATACGCCGAATCCATCGACATCCTATACTCACAAAACATCTTGAGGTTCCGCCAAATGGAGACGCTTGAGGTTGTGCCAAATTGGATTCTGCCACCGCGGCTAATATCGATCCGCCATGTCCACATCGATGTCGACAAGTGGACTTATGCCGGAAGTATCTATAGGTATGGCGTATCCTCTTCGGATATACGCTGCTGGAAACGAGTTTGTTCTGTCCTAAAGCGGATGAGGGGTCTCCGGCATCTGAGGGTGGAATTTGAGAGCAAGGCCTTCCGTCACAACATGACTCCTTACCTGGAGCATATGGTCGTTCTTGGTTCCCAGGTTCCTGACATCGTGATATATGCTGGCAAGAATATCTGCTTTCATTTTGGAGGAACGTGGATGGAATCGGCACCTTTTAAGGTGATCAGAATAGATTGAGGATTTGAAGGGTAAGCAGTTGATGAAGCTGAGCGTGTGGCACAAGTCTTCTGAAATTGTCTTCCAATTCCAAACACAGCTCACTGGTCCAGATGTGAATTGGCCCAGGCAATCAACAAGGTATCGGAAAAGCGACGAGAACGGCGGGTTTTCGGTCTGAATGAATGCTGTTAAATCGAAAGTGTAAATTGTAGCAGGAAGATATGTATGGACATTTATTTGTTATTCGAATTATCACCTCAGGAGAAGATTGGAAGTATACTGTAGGAGGCTCACTCAATCAGCCAATCACCACCTAGTTCTCCTCTATGCAACCATACTTGAAGTAGTTTGTCTGGTCGATGACCCTGGGAAATGTTATGCACATGTGGTCCTCGTGGGCGCCGAGGTTATAGGCGAAAGCTGAAGCCAATATCTGAAACAATGCGAGCGATATGTGATGGCGGAAAACGTCAGTGGTGATCAATCGGGAAAGAGTCGCGAAGATGGGAGCGAGCGGGGGCCGGTCTGACGCGGAGGCGAGGCCGAACAATGCACATCATCCTCACGGGTCGCCCAACAATTTGCTATGCACGACATTCTCCACGGAGCACAGATATCTGGATTCTGGATCTTGCAGGTTGTCGGCTTTTCAATGAGCACCAGTAGGTGATCAGAGCAGACTGAAGAAGCGGATAAAGAGACTGCTGCCCCGCGATTCCGACTTGGTCACATTCGCTTCCTAGAGTCGAGTGACCGCTGAACCTTCTTTACCTTGTCCAAGCTCTGGGAGTCTGGGGTAAGGGGTGGATTAATCGAAATCACTGCCACTGGCCGCCCAAAAAACGCCAATCCAATTTAGCGCTGGCTTCGGCTCTTCTCATTCGATCCATTTCCCCTGAGGCACGTTGCTGACTGCCCTTGTGCCGTTGCAGGGTCCGAGGTTCGTCGATCCTGTCGGCGGGGACCTGGTTTCATATGCTTCCACTTTCTGGGGCTGATCAGCTTGCAGCGCACGAGGCCAGAGCTTAAAACCCGCCGCGTCGTCCTGCATCCCACTTGAAGACAACTCTCCCCTCTTTCTCTCCGACATCTGTTATTACACTTTATCGTTCCTTTCGTTGCTCTCCCACAATGGCTTACGTCGGTCACACTCCACCAGGATGGCTCGGGAACCTGTCCGCCGACCAGGAAACAAAACTACAGCAGATGTGGAATATCGTTCTCGTACTGCTGGACGCTGTTTCGCTGGGCGCCCCGGAGCAACCCATCGAGAACCAGACCGGCGAGGCTGGAAAGCCCGCTGCGGCGCTGACCCGAACCGACACCTTGGCCTCAGCCAACGGAACAAACGCCTTCACCGCACACCTCGCCCAAACGCTCAAAGAGACCGGCCTGACCACGAACGAAATCAAATCGCTCAAAGATGTCTTGCATGATACGACGGCGGAGGAGCTGCGCGCGGGCCTGCTGAGCACAGCCAAGAACGACAACCCGGACGCCTTGCTGCTGCGATTCTTGCGCGCTCGCAAGTTCGATGTCGGCAAGTCGTTTAACATGATGCTGCGGTCGATGCTGTGGCGGATTAAGCAGGTCCGCGTCGATGAAAAGGTCCTCCTCACCACGGAGTTGGACGCCCTCAGGGAAACAAAGGACAAGTCGAAGTCTCACGAGGCCAAGGAGGCCGAAGGCTTTCTTTCGCAGATGCGCATGGGCAAATGCTACCAGCACGGTCATGATAAGCAAGGCCGTCCGGTTGGCGTCGTGCGTGTCAAGTTGCACAAGCCGTCTGCACAGAGCACCGAGGCCATCAACCGGTTCATCCTTCACGTCCTCGAGTCGACTCGGCTGTTGCTAGTGCCGCCAGTTGACACAGTGGTACGACCTCCTCTAGACCAGACCAGAATTTCGCTTACTGTTTAGACCATCGTATTCGATCTCACTGGTTTCTCTCTCTCTAACATGGTACGTACCTTGCTACAACAACAACGCCAAGCTGACAGTAGCAGGAATACCCACCCGTCAAATTCATCATCGAATGCTTCCAAGACAACTACCCCGAATCTCTCGGAAACCTACTCATCCACAACGCCCCCTGGATCTTCTCCGGTACGTTCTATCAGAATCATGTCACCCAATCTCGTACCTCTCTAACCGCAACAGGCATCTGGAAAATCATCAAAGGCTGGATGGACCCGGTGATCGTCTCAAAAGTGCACTTCACAAACAGCGTAAAAGACTTGGGCAACTTCATCGACGTCGACAAGATCCCCAAGGAATTAGGCGGCAAGGAAGATTGGGCATACAAATACGTCGAACCGGTCGAAGGCGAGAACGCCCTGATGGAGGACACAGCCGCAAGAGACGTTCTGCAGGCGGAGCGCCTCAAGATCGGCGAAGACTTACTCCGCGAAACCTCGAAGTGGATCAAAGCCGGTGGCGAGCATAACAAGGAAGATGTCAAAGCGCTCCAGAGCAAGCGCGACGATCTTATCGAGCAGCTGCGGGTCAACTACTGGAAAATGGACCCGTATACGCGTGGCCGGAATGCCCTGGACCGCACGAATGTTATACAAGCTGGTGGCAAGGTTGACTTCTATCCTAGCGAGGTTGTCGCCCCGGTTGAGGAGCTCAAGAAGCTTGATATTGAGCAGGTTGAGCGGGAAGAGGTGAAGGTTAATGCATGATGGCTTTGAAGATATATAACATGTACATGATGGTCTCGGCGTTATGATTCCCAAGATTTATTTTGTTTTGACTGACTGTTATACTCGTTTAATTCGATATTTCTACCTTGTGGCTCATAGTTGGCGACAAACTTCGCATCTGTACCTGCAGATTCCCACTATAAGGATTCCGGTCCGCCCTTTGTCTCAACTTCCCACTTTCAACTCACTCGCCACCAAAGCTTCTCGATTCTCAGCGTCCAAGGCACACCCAACCTCGCCTCCATGAAAGGGATTATACTAACATTCATTCATCCATAGGACCCGATTTACACCCCTGACCTGTCAGATGACTTCCCTGCATCGCAATGCGAAAGGGTTTTCAGTACCGTCATGACACAACACATCGAGAATGGTGTCTTATCCGCCGAACAGAGACTTCAAACATACAAGAGCGAAGATGACGCTGAGCAACGATGAAAGATCGAATTTATCGGCGCCTTTGGGCAATGACGTCCGCGGATTTTGGTGGCGGATAGAGTTTCACGAACGAGAGCTTCCTCCCCAAGCTTTCTGATTTCCTCCGAGGCTCCGATGCCACTTCATGGAAGGCTTTGGAAGCACACGATTATGACTGCATTATTTATAGAGCCTAGCTACATGGCTTGCGAGCGCCAAGTCTGCAAGGCTCGCAGCTCGCAGCTCGCAGGATGTAGCTTGGGCTTCTCGAAATCATCCAATACCTAATGGTGTCTACCGGCCCTCTCCGGAATTCATATCGACATCCATGGCATGACCTTCAGAGCAAATCTTGCGTCCCAATTGAGCCCGTCCAAGTCTCCTCGCATTAGACATGCTCGCAAGCCCCGACTTTTCCGCTCGCCAAGCCGACATAGGTCAACCAGGGCTGGCATGACTTATGACAGCTTTAGCAAGGATCAACGTGCGAAAAGATAGCGGCTGGATTGGCCGTTCCTGGGGCCGCAATCTCCGCAATCAACAACTTGGATCCAGCAGTTAATGCATCCCAATCACAGTCCATGCTGGCTGCATGTGTAGTGGCTGCCAAGGATACCAAGGCGGGCCATGGAGATAAGTGCTTGCTCGTCGGCCGCCATAAATACCGCGGTGATGACGCCCTACTCTCTGAAATCTTTCAATTGAGAGCTGCAAGGACTCGTGGCCTGGTCGACTACAAAATGCATGCGCTTTTGCTTCTTCTTGCGGCCGGCGTTGCTGTCGCTGCCCCCGCCTACAACAAGTCGCAATCGCATGCAGTGACAAACATTCAAGTCGGCCCACGGCCCTTCTGGCTCGTCGACCAGATGGACGACAGCCCGCTCAAAACGAAGCTCGAGTCCTGCACCGAGAAGCCTATCAAGCATGCCCCCTCCTTCTCCATCTCCCACCGCGGCGGTCCCCTCCAGTTCCCGGAACATAGTCGCGAGGGGCTTTATGCAGGGGCGCGCATGGGCGCAGGCATCTTGGAATGCGACGTTGCTTTTACTAGCGACCGTCAGCTTGTCTGCCGGCATTCCCAATGCGACCTGCACACCACCACCAACATCCTGCTGATCCCCGAGCTTGCAGCAAAATGCACCACACCTTTCCAGCCCGCGACGGCCAACTCTTCAGCGACGGCCAAATGCTGCACGTCGGACATCACCCATGATGAGTTCCTCTCGCTCTGCGCCAAGATGGACTCGTCCAACTCCAGCGCAACAACTCCCGAGGACTACCAGTACGGTGGTCCCGACTGGCGAACGTCGACCTACGACAACTGCGCCACCACTATCGACCATAGAACCTTCATTGAAATCACGGACAGCTTGGGTCTGCAGTTCACGCCCGAGCTCAAGACTCCCGAAGTCGAAATGCCTTTCCAGGGCAACTACACCCAGGAAATCTACGCCCAGCAGCTCATCGACGAGTACAAGCAAGCCGGTATCAACCCGAAGCGCGTGTGGCCGCAGTCCTTCCTCGAGGACGACGTTATCTACTGGGTCAACGCCGAGCCCAGCTTTGGCAAGCAGGCTGTCTACCTTGACCCGCGCGTTGACACCGTTGCCGGGTATGTGCAGGCTGTTGGCGACATGGACAAGCTCTACAAGCAGGGCGTTCGCGTTCTGGCGCCGCCTATCTTTGCCTTGCTCAACGGCACCGCCAGCGGCGAGATCGTTCCCTCGTCGTACGCGCAGGCCGCGAAGAAGGCCGGATTCGACCTCATTACCTGGTCGCTCGAGCGCTCGGGTCCTCTCAAGCAGGCTGCCGCAGAGGGCGAGTACTACGTCTTGACCATTGCCGACGTGATCAAGGGCGACGGCGACATGTATCGCATCGTCGACGCTCTGGCGCGCAAGGTCGGTGTCATTGGCATCTTCTCCGACTGGCCGGCGACGGTGACATACTACGCCAACTGCTTCGGGCTCCTCTAAGCATCCCAATCTATCCACCTATTGAACCACGAAGTATATAGTAATACAAATAGAACAATGATTGGACAACAATAGACTTTCGCTTCCTTGCCGTCGCCACATGACATCACGACAAGCTCACAGTCTCACTATATAAACCCCGCACCCCAACCTGTCAACCCCATCCTCCCCACGATCTCAAACAATCCCTCAATCCATCCACACTCAATCAATCAATCAAGAAACCAATCCATCAGGAAAAGAAAAAGACACCAAAATGTACGCCCTCGTCGCCAACTCCTTCAAAACAACCCCGGCCGTCCGCCGCATCCTCCCCTGCTCCTCCTTCCACTCGCAATACACCAAGTTCCAGGCGCAGGCGCAGGCACAGGCATCGCAGACCCAGCCCCAAGCCCAGCCCCAGAGCAACATCCACTCCACCGCTGCCGTCGACCAGTTCTACATGTCGTCCTCGTTCCCCGACGACGTCGAGAACCCGCCGACCATGACGCAGCGCCGCACCTCCGTCCATGCTACGCCCCAGTGGCGCCAGGAGAACGCGACGGATAGCGAGGCTGGTGTATGTGCCCTCATCTCCCGATACCCTACCCTCCAGCTGCTTTTAGGGGGAAGTGATGGAGTTGGTTGCTGACGCTTTGGTTGTGTGTAGGTTAAGGCTGATCGCGGCGAGGCGGCGCCTGAGGATACGTACCCCGGTGAGGAGAATGAGCCGACCATTGATGAGATGTGAGCGGTACACATACAAAACAGGATGCTGGGATATTGGTCCCTGGGGTTGTGATGGTTTTTGCGGGCGAAAATCATGAAAAATACAATACGGGATGGTCTGACTCTGTCTTTCCCATAGGGTGTTTGTGGATGACATGAAATGGAAATTGGAAATCGGTAGGTAGGTGAGTTGATGCCCGGGTAAGGGGTTATTGTGTCCAACCCTATCTACCGGTATATCTCTCTTTGATTCATCATGGAAACAAGAAAAAAGGGGTTCTTGTGTTTTTATCTCCCCTCTATGTTAGGTAAGGCTATATACTAGAAATCATCATACTTTGTATGCTCTCCGTCCATTTCATACATTGCTACAAGCCATCTCATCCCGTCTGGAACTATGTGTACTTCTATCGCAGCTGCGTAAAGTTGGGCCTTGGATAGACGGCTAATCCAATAACCTGACATCCATGGGTCAATTGGCTCGCCTTAGCATGATACACTCCGTATGGGGCCAGAGGTTATTGCGCCATAAGGCCTCCAATGTTATACTCTCCATTACAAGTAATCCTTGGCTGCCACTGCCACTGCCAAGTGTTGGGCAAGACAAGCTTGCTGGCAGCTGGACAAGCCCAAGCCTGCTTTTCCGTCCAAAATACTTCAGCTGACGATGTGAAGGGGCCGAGTGGGCGTGAGCTTTGGCGCACGGCTCAGATTCGGGGAAGTGCTCAACTCCAGCAGCGGCGGGCAAGACCTACATACCTGACGTTGTCCATGTTGAGGCTTGTTTCACTTGATGGGATCTGGCCTGGCCACCTGCAATTCAAGCTAGTTTCAAGGCTCATTTCTTTCAGGAGTACGGCAAGGCGTCCCGGCGGATCCCATGTAACCGCCCACTTCCAACCCCTGCAGGCTTTCTGCAGACTGGCCTTGGAAGCATGGAAGGGACGAGCCATCTAGGTAAACCCAAGCATTAACTCCGATATATGAGTGGACACTTCGGGTTCGTACATGGGGCCGAAAAGGATGACATCAGTGATCGCCCAAGCTGTTGGCTCAGAGAGCGCCGCGTTATTATTATTGTCTGGGGAACATCAATGGACCCTGAATATGGGCACTGAGTATACTAGAATAGGATATATGGGGCCAGAACAGAACCACAGCCCTAGGTCGGTGTTGGGGCCGAAAGTCGAAATATCCTATCACGATTCGTCGAATCCTGCCTGTTCGCCAAATACCAGTCTACAGGGCAGAAGTTAAACGAGCGAGCCACTAACGCAGCATATTCCCAAGAGACGTGATGTGGTATCAGCTGGTAAGCGTCATGTTGTTCGAAGCCGTCCAGCTGGGAGGTGTCATGGACAACCCTATACGGATGTCTAGGAGACAGTGACGCAAGACTTGTCAAAACGCGCCCTAAGTCCCTGGCGCTAGGGACCAGGAAGTCTATATAAAGGCCGTGAATCACCATTCTCATTCTCATTCTCATTCTCATTCTCGTCATCATCTTCAGCTTCAGCTTCAGCTTCAGTGCCTCAAACCCGCCTTCAAAGTCCAAGCACGCGTCCAAAATGCACGCATCCACCAAACTCCTCACAGGCCTCAGCCTGGCCCTCGTCGCCCTCCCGAACCTCGTAGCCGCAGCCTGCAAGCTCAACAACGCCATCGAAGAGAACGAAAAGACCCGCGAAGACCGGCAGGAGCTCTGCCTAGCCGAGGGCCCGAACCGGTGGACATTCGCGCTGCAAATCAGCGAAGTCAGCGTGCCGACCTTCGACGGCGGCAACCCCTTCGCGGGGATCGCGGGGTCGCAGGCTTTCATTTTGTACGACGACGTCTGCACCCGCATGGGCGTCTACTCGCCCGACAACGAGGGCAACGATTGCGGGATCCCGTATACGATTGAGGAGAGCTGGTTGTCGCATGCGCTTACGGTGACGAGTATCAACTTTGATGTTGGGGATCCGTTCTTCAAGTTCTCCTTTGCGGAGGGGGAGTATGCGAGTGATGGGGAGACGGGGCTTTGCAGTGATATTAGCTCGGGGTTGAGGGCGGAGCAGGCTTGTCAGGCGACGTTCTCGAATTATGTGGAGTAGTGGGTGGTCACTATCCTAGAGTACTTATGGGGCCTGTGAAGGCGAGCTTGTTGGATAGCTGTCACATACATAAATGACGGGATGCGTGGGGATGTTGCAGTGGGAGAGTTGGATTTGTTCTTCGTGTGCCATGATACTTTGTGTTTATCTGCGTGTTCTTGTTTGCCCGTACATAGGTTACTGTTGAATCTATTATGTAGCACGTCAAGTGCAACTGAAAGACAGTTCCGGGCCGATCGTCCATCTGTCAGGTTCTTTATCAACCCTGCCCTAATCCTTGGTGCTCTGATAATCCGCTGGACGGGAAAGCAACCCCTGGACCCTTCCCGCACATGAGTATAGAAGCTGGGGCCAAAGCAAGAATTGCTCTATGTCAGCATGTATGTGGGAATCTCATCCCATCACGCCGGGCTGACAGTATAGCTAACCTGAGATAATGGGTCGAGTTGGGTGCTACTATTGCTAGAAGTGGAAGCCATTCATTGACTATGTAAGGGACTCTCCAGCATTCCAAGACAGAATAGAACAGCCCCATCAGAATGAAATCTAACTATTACTGGTTACTTTTATCAGATTCTGCGTAGTCTCCATTGCCCACTTTGACTACAAGCCTCCGCCAGAGTCCGAGGATATGCTGAAAATATATAACGCATTTGGTCACTACTCAAAGCTCCAAGTTTTCGTTATTCATGATATTGATAGATTCGATGGAGCCTTCCTTGACCACTGCTCTCTTCATGCCGTGCAGTTGGTGATGCTCGGAGATAACTCGGAGGTATCGGCTCCCACCAAGCGAGGCCGGCTCCATCTGAGCGTCTCCGGCCTCGATCTCTTCGTTATCGTCACTCACCTGGTCAAATCTGGTCTGGACCAATCAGATCATGCAGCAACACCATCAAAGGTCGTACTGATCGTGGACTTTGGTCGGGATGGTGAGAAACACGCGCGACTACCAATGCCCGAGGTGCGATCGGAAATTCGCGAGGCTGGAGCATCTGCAGCGCCACGAACGTTCGCGTACTTACTTCCCTCCTTCAAACCACAAACTCGCCACTAACATACACACAGATACGAAAGAAAAGCCGTTTGGCTGCGACAAATGTACAAAGTCCTTTACTCGCAAGGATCTACTCGTCCGTCATGAGAGGCTCGCCCACAGCTCGTCTCCAGCGGCTTCAACCCCGGGATCGGTCCCCACAGCGTCTACCCAGCCAGTATTCGATGGCCTTAACGTGCTTGCCTCTGCTGTGACGGACCACCCATTTCCCTCTACGGGCGAGCCTGTCTTACCTGCATCGCATGTTGCATTTCCGACCGCACCGGCACCAGAACCAGCTCCCTTCAGTGAGCCTTTCCCATACGAGGGCGATGACTTTACGTCTTTTCTAGACAGCATTCCCCTGCCTAGTCATCCATACTCACCGACTTACCAACCATTGCCGCTTTTTCCGCCGCTACAGTTTGATTCAGGATCGGAGTATCCTTCGACTCTTGGTCATGATGGAGCTGCAACGCCGTCCCGCTCAGTGCTCCCTCGTCATGGGACGCAGTTGCCGTCGTTGCAACTGGAGGAATCTCAGCCGCCTTCGAGGAACCGCCCTCCAAAGGTTCCGATTGTGGTAACGACGCAGTGTCGCGACCGGCTTGTCCGCGAGCTACGAGATTATGCCAATGTCATTCCCGATCAATCCATTCCTTCTCGCCATGCCCTTTCCCGGTGTCTTACCGGCTACCTTACTGGATACCATGATCACTACCCCTTTCTGCATATACCCACGTTGAACATTGAGGCGACCCCGCTGCATCTTGTTTTGTCGATGGCAGCTTTAGGCGCCCAATATTGCCGGGAACACGACACAAGCATCAACCTCTTTCAAGTCGCCAAGGCTGTCACTATGGAGCACATGCGGCGAGATTTTCAATGGAATGGCCTTCATGACCATCAGGCTAAGCAAGCCTCATCCAATGACCAAAGCCAAGATATTCTGGAAACCATTCAGTCACTGCTTATGCTGATGTCGGTCTCTTCTTGGTTCGAACATTATCCACCTCACTATGAGAGCCTGTACTTACGAAGCCCAATGGAAACCCTAATGCGGAAGGATGGTTTGAATAGACTTCCCCGGCAGGATGGATCATGGGAGAGTTGGATTCGAAACGAGAGCGCAAAGAGAACGAAGTTGATCGTTTTCTGTTTTCTGGGCATTCAGACGATTGTTTTTGACGTCCCGCCGAATATCTTGACCGAGGAGATAACGCTCGATCTTCCCTGCACAGAGAACGAGTGGACCGCTGCTAGTGCCAGCGAGTGGATGCAGTGCAGGCAGTACGGTCGCGGAAGCCCTAGACTGCAGGATGCTTTAAACTCTCTATTCACCCGGACACCAAGCGCTGGAGGGCAGTTGGAAAGCTTTACCTCTCTTGGTGGCTATGCCCTCATCCACGCCCTCATCCAAATTATATGGCTCATTCAAAAGGCTTGCCGTGTTCCGGCGAGTACCAGCAGCTCTTTATCACCGACTCAGATTACCTCCTTGGAACATGCGCTGGAGAACTGGTGCCAGTGCTGGGAACGCAATCAAGAGTCTTCAACAGATCCTTTCAACCCCAACGGCCCAATCTCGTTTACCTCTACAGCTTTATTGCGAATGGCGTATATCCGGCTGAATGCCGACTTTAGCTCCGCGCGACGCCTTCAGACCTTCAACCCGGATGAGATTGCAAGGTCCCTCCGACAGAACCTCACAGTCCAGCGCAGTGATCGGCTGACTCGCGCAGCCCTTCATTGCGCTCATGCTCTCAGCACACCGATCAAACTCGGCATCAATTATGTTGCACGTACGCTTGTCGTTTCATGGTCCAACCAGTACGCTCTTTGCTCGCTTGAATGTGCGGTACTCCTGGCCAAATGGCTGGAGATTGCCACCGTACCAAACCCTGAGCCCAGATTGACAGAGCAAGAGACGAAGCTTCTCGAGTTTGTGATTGAAATGGTGATGGAGGCACAGCATGGAGTGTCGCGGTCGTGGCTGCTGGCGAACAATACTCGATTAAGTGCGGTCGTGACCAGACTTTGGGCCAGACTCTTCACGGCGGACTATATCTACGAACTTGTCAACTTGATTGGTCGATCATTGAATCGCTATGCGGATCTCCTTGAAGGGATGGAGGCACCATGAGTTGACGGACAAACAGGCTGTGGATGAACTCTTCCAAATTTCAATTGTGCCCCTGAACGAAACTGCTCCCACCTATCACAACAGCAAATAAGGAGTAGAGCTTCTGATGCATGGTGATGTAAGAAGAGAAAGCGTCTGCCTGCTCCGATCATAGGGCGACATGGTCTGTGATCCCCGGAGGCCGAGGGATCAATTGCCTTAGACGGCAACGAGTACGAGTACGGGCCCCACCACATCGATAGTCGACTCCCAAATTTCGAAGTACCATGGTCCTAGAATCATTTAAAGACTTCGTTCCTTCATCCTTGCATCGATTTTTCTCTTGTAAGCTGTCCGAATGTTTGTTGATTAAAGAGATGAACAGGTATCCGAGCGTGCTGATCCCAGGAGGGGGCAAGGTGAGAGGTACTCAACTCACACCTACCTATCCACTCTTTGCATGTGACTAACCTCGAGTAGATGATGGTCGAATTGAGGTCAACCTAGACTCCAAAGCCTGTAGGGCTGTGGCAGAGCTCATCGGTACAAGTCCTGCGGAGGTGGATCACCCGCTTGGCCCACCACCCCCGTACGAGGAGATCCAACAAGACACCCAGCCAGCCATCGACATCCGGCTCAACATCGTCATCCAGGTAGTAGGCAGCCGCGGGGACGTCCAACCATTCATAGCGCTAGGCAACGAGCTGCAAAAGCACGGGCATCGCGTTCGACTCGCGACGCATGATGTTTTCGCCACCTTTGTCAGGGATCACGGGTTGGAATTCTACCCAATCGGCGGCAACCCGGCCGAGTTGATGGCGTACATGGTCAAGAACCCTGGGTTGATTCCGCAGCTGCATAGTCTCCGGGCCGGCGACATCCAGAAGAAAAGGGACATGGTGGCAGAGATGCTGGACGGGTGTTGGAGATCTTGCATCGAAGATGATCCAGTTACAGGAGCTCCATTTATCGCGGAAGCGATTATTGCCAACCCACCGAGTTTCGCCCACATTCATTGTGCCCAGGCCCTAGGTATTCCGCTGCATCTGATGTTTACGATGCCGTGGAGCAGCACGAGGGCGTTTCCGCATCCGTTGGCCAACTTGAAGTACTCCGACACAAGCCAGGAGATGGCGAACTACTTCTCATACGGTATCGTTGAGTGGTTGACGTGGCAGGGGTGAGTCCGACGGCTGTTTACACATGATTCTTCTGACCTTGCAGGCTCGGGGATGTGATCAACAGCTGGCGCTCGAAACTCGACTTGGAGGCCGTCCCGGTTACGGAGGGGCCAATGCTGGCATCGACTCTGAAGGTCCCATTTACCTACTGCTGGTCTCCGGCTTTGATGAGGAAGCCAGCGGACTGGCCCGCGCATATCGGTAGGACTCAATGTTTCACTGCTTCTGTAGGATCACAGCTGATTCGGCTAGATGTCTGTGGCTTCTTCTTCCGGGATGCTCCAGATTACAAGCCACCCCAATCACTCGACGCCTTCCTCCAAAACGGAGCGCCACCCGTGTACATCGGTTTCGGCAGTATTGTTATCGACGACCCGGAGAAATTCACCGCAATTATCCTAGACGCTGTTCGGACGTTGGGAGTTCGTGCTATTATTTCTCGGGGCTGGAGTAAACTAGGCGGAGAGCCGTCTAACAGCATCTACTATATCGACGACTGTCCACATGAATGGCTATTTCAGCATGTGTCCGCTGTCGTACATCATGGAGGCGCCGGAACCACCGCATGTGGCCTCCGGAATGGCCGGCCTACATCAATAGTCCCATTCTTTGGAGAGTATGAAACCTAGCCCGAACCTGATTCACATACTGACACAATCAATCAGCCAGCCGTTCTGGGGAAACCTGGTAGCAGCCTCCGGCGCAGGCCCCAGACCGATACCATATCGACAAGTCACCGCGGCGAATCTCGCCGAGGCCATTGGGTTCTGCTTACAGCCAGAGGCACAACATGCCGCTCAGAACATTGCGTCAAAAATGCAGTACGAAGACGGTGTCAAGACTGCGGTTGCCTCGTTTCACCGGAACCTGCCGCTGGATAAAATGCGCTGCGACCTGCTTCCCAACCGCGCTGCAACGTGGACGTGTAAATCACCCTCACTGCGTTTGTCGAAACTTGCTGCGCAGATGCTGGTGGAGCATTTGCGGCTTGATAAGAAAGCTCTGCAGGTGTATGCCATTTTCTCATATCTGTCCCAAAAACAACCACTGATGCCTTCGTAGCTACGAACCTAAGCCAGTGCATATCGAGAACCGACGCTGGGATCCAGTCACGGGCACCGTATCCGCAGCAATCGGGACAGGAACGAACATGGTCAAATCAACGACTGATATTTTCCTCAAACCCTACCAGGAATATCAAGACCTGCAAAGAGGACGACCGCAGTCCAGACAGAGCTCCGAGACCACTGCATCTGCTCCGTCAATTGCTCGATCGCTGAGTACGCCTCCAAGGACAGATACCCAGCCGCCACCCACCCCAACAAACAACCCAAGCGCTCTCCAGGCAACCGGCACAATTGCAGGCGCATCTGCAAAAAGCATTGGCAAAGTCCTGACCTCCTACTTCAAAGGTGCCATGGTCGACATCCCGCTGGCTACAACGGAGGGCTTGCGCGCCGTCCCACGTCTCTACGGCGAAGAAGTCAAAGAGCACAAGCCCGTCAAGGACTGGAAATCCGGCGTTGTGGTCGGGTGTACTTCGTTTTCGCGGGGCATGTACGATGGCTTGACGGGTGTGGTGATGCAGCCGTACAGAGGTGCAAAGGAAGAAGGCGCCCTGGGTGCGGTGAAAGGTCTTGCGAAGGGGACGGTTGGAGCGGCGGCGAACGTCGGGTCCGGTGTGTGCTCCTTTCTCGGGATCTATTTGCTTTTCAGCGGGTTGCGTGTGGAAATTGTAGCTAATGCTGATGCTGTGATAGCTGCGTTAGGGCTTGTGGCGTATCCCGGGCACGGGATCTGCAAGAGCATTCATTCCTCTGTCCGGTCGAAGACTAGGAAGGCGGTTGTCAAGGCGAGGCAGAGGGAGGGGGAGTATCTTGCTGCGACTGTGACTCGGGCTTCTGGGAGCGAACGAATCGATCGAGGGGCGGTGTTGCGAGCGTTTGAAGAGAGGAAGCGTGGGGGTTCTGGTGTGCTGTCGAAGAGGTTTGATACGTGGGATATTGCGAATAGTCGGGACGCAGTCTAGGGTGAGTCGATCTGTGCTTGCTGTTGAGACGTTGATATCTCGAAGTTCAAACAACTGAACATGGAATCAAATTGTTCCTAGCGAATACTCAACCCTATAATCACAACACATCCATCCCCGTAACCAGAAACGACACGAACGACATCGATCACTTCCTCACATTCAACATCAAATCAAAGACCACCTTCCCCCTCGCATGCCCACTCTCCAAGCGTGCATACCCATGCTCAAACTGCTCCAGCGCCCAAACACTATCAACCACAGGCCAGGCCTTCCGCTGCTCAATCAGCTTCGTGACCTCCTGCAGATCCTTCCCAGACGGCGTCATAATAAAGAACTTATCCACCACATTCTTGACTTCCAGACCCCCCGGCCTCCTCTGCCCAGGCGGCTGCACAATCCCCAGAATCGTGCCCCCCTCCTTAAGCGTCCACCACGCATCCTCCAGCGCCTTCCCACCCACACAATCAACCACCAGATCAACCTGATTCCCCTCCTTCCCTCCCCAGCTCTTAAAATCCACCGTCCGATAATCAAGGACTTCAGCAGCCCCCAACCCCCTCACAAACTCCGCATTCCTCCCACTACACGTCCCGATAACCGTCGCCCCGCTCAGCGCCCCAATCTGCACCAGCCACACCCCCACACCCCCCGACGCCGCCGTAACAAGAACCCTCTTCCCCTCCCAGGCCCGATCCCCAAACCCCCCAATCCCCGCCTGCACAAAGAGCGCCTGCCACGCCGTCTCCGCGCTCAGCGGCACAGCCGCACTCTCAACCCAGGATAGATTCGGCGGCCGGAGCGCAAGCTCGTCGCCCGTGGCGACCGTGTAGTCCCGCGCGTCTCCGGGCCGCCAGTAGCTTGTGCGCGCGTAGACCTGGGAGCCTGGCGCGAAGGGGGAGTGCGGTGGTGCGGTGATCACGGTCCCCGCGACGTCGTTGCACGTTATGATTTCGGGCTTTTGGGCCGCCGAGATGCGCACTTCGCTCATGGTGGCCCAGTTTAGTTCGCCGGCGCAGGGGGCCGTGGCGTGCACGCGGATGAGGTGTTCGTTTGCGCTGAGGTTTGGGGTTGGGGGGGGGCGCTGCACGAGGGTTATGGTGTGGGAGGTGGGTTCTGCTTGCAGGAGGGCGCGGATAGTGGCTGGTAAGGGTTGAGAGGTCATTTTGTTGGTTGATGGTGATGTATAGGTATATATATTTTGTAGAAGATAGGATGCTGTTTCTTGTTATAGTTCTTGACTGAGAAGGTGGATTGTGTGATGTTGATCGCAGAAGGGCTGGAGACCTGGAGACTATATACCTCGACTCTACATGCTGACGGCGTCTGCCCAAACCCCGGTCCAATGGGATCTGCAGGTGAAAGTGGTGATGTACTCCCAAGGGTTGAGCTCGTATTGCTGGCTAGGGACCAAGGCGTGCCAAGCCCGCAATAGCCTATCACCCGGCCACTGCGCCTGCACCAATGAACCATCCTAGCACGTGTTTACAGTGTTACGAGAGACCTGGAACTGTCAACGGGTAGGATATACACTCACCACCATCTTTAAAGCAGCATCATGATAGAAGTGAGGATAAAGGTAGAGTTATCTGCCTCAGGCAGCCAAAGCGGAAGCCCCTGCGCCTGATTCTGCCGTGTTTTCTCGGCGGTGAGCAAAAATATGGAGATCGGCCCCGCGTCTCGATTTTTTTTGCTCTTTCTTTACCTCCCTGGTATTTGCCAGGCAGGCCGCCATTGCTCGTCGATTCGCCAAGATGAAGTATGTTCTTGTCTCTGGTGGTGTTATCTCCGGTGTGGGAAAGGGTATCATCGCAAGCAGTACCGGTCTGCTGCTGAAAACTGCTGGTCTGTCGGTCTCCAGCATCAAGATCGACCCCTACCTCAATCCCGATGCCGGTCTTATGAACGTATGTTTCTCTTGTCTGGTTATGTGGTGCTTGCTGACGGTTTTAGCCCTTGGAGTAGGTTATCGCGACTTGTCCTGACCGTGTACCTCGCACGCTAACTGACGAAGGCACGGAGAATGCTTTGTCTTGGACGATGGGGGTGAAGCTGATCTGGATCTGGGAAACTATGAGCGATACCTCGGCGTCACCCTCGGCCGAGACAACAACATCACAACGGGCAAGATCTACCAACATGTGATTGAGAAGGAGCGTCGGGGTGACTACCTGGGCAAGACGGGTGCGTGATGTGACGGCAAAATAACCAACGGAGCTGACCGGGCCAGTGCAAATCGTGCCGCATCTTACGAACGAGATCCAGAACTGGGTGGAGCGAGTCGCCCGGGTGCCTATCGACGAGTCCGGGCGCGAACCCGACGTCTGCATCATCGAGCTCGGAGGAACCGTCGGAGATATCGAGAGCGCCCCGTTCGTCGAGGCCATGAGCCAGCTCCAGCGCCGCGTTGGAAAGGCCAACTTCCTTCAGATTCACGTCAGCTACGTGCCTTTGATCGGCTCGGAGCAGAAGACGAAACCCACACAACGCGCTATCAGCGACGTCCGGAGCGGTGGTCTCAGGCCTGATTTGATTGCCTGCCGCTGTGAGACGCCCCTCGAGGAGATGACTATCCGCAAGATCGCCGGTACCTGCCAGGTGGAACGGGATCAGGTTGTCGGAGTCCACAACGTGCCCTCCACCTACCAGGTGCCCATCCTTCTTGAGAACCAAGGGTTCCTCAACACGCTCAAGGACCTCCTTGAGATCCGGTCGCTGCGCATCGAGCCCAAGTACGTCGATCTCGGCAAGGCCATGTGGCACAAGTGGCACGGTCTGGCCATGACCCAAGACCACATCTTCGACACCGTCTCGATCGTCCTGGTCGGCAAGTACACAAGTCTGCACGACTCATATCTGAGTGTAACCAAGGCGCTGGAACACGCGTCTATGCACTGTCAGAAGAAGCTCAACCTCGTCTGGGTCGAGTCATCCCACCTTGAAGAGGACCACCAAACAGAGAACCCCGCCGAGTACTACAAGGCGTGGCACGCCGTCTCCACGGCAGACGGCATTCTCGTTCCGGTACGTCGGTCGCATACATACGATTGCAACAACTAACATTATCAGGGCGGTTTCGGCCAACGCGGCACAGAGGGCATGATCAAGTGCGCCGAATGGGCACGCACCAAGAACGTCCCCTTCCTGGGCATCTGTCTCGGCCTCCAAGTCGCCGTGATCGAATACGCCCGTAACATCTGCGGCATGAAAGAAGCCGACAGCGCCGAATTCAACGAGGAATGCGCACAGCCCGCCATCGTGTACATGCCCGAAATCGACAAGACCAAGATGGGCGGCACCATGCGCCTCGGCAAGCGGCCCACGCTCTTCCAAGACGGCACGGAGTGGTCCAAGTTCCGCAAGCTGTACGGCTCCAAGACGGAGATCTGGGAGCGCCACCGCCACCGCTACGAGGTCAACCCCGATCTCGTGCCACAGCTCGAGGCCGCGGGGCTGTCGTTCATCGGCAAGGACGAGTCCGGGAGCCGCATGGAGGTCATTGAGCTTAAGGACCATCGGTGGTACGTCGGCGTGCAGTTCCACCCCGAGTACCTGAGCCGTGTTATCACGCCCAGCAAGAGTTTCCTGGGCTTCTTTGCGGCGGCTGCGGGGTGTCTTGACGAGATTACCGAGACGTTTCAGGGCGCGCATGACCTTAGCCATTTGGAGGTCAGGCCTAAGGCTGAGGCTCTTTAACTTTGATGTTAGCGTTTGTGACTGGTGTTTGTCCGGTAGATCTTCGGGAGTCTTTAAAGGTAACAAAATAGAAATGAATATATGAATCTACAATGAGTATAAGGGCGCCTGGGCGTTGTGCTGCTTGTGCATCTGGAAAGAGTTAAAGAGCATCGATGGTCAGGCCAGGCCTCGTAACGGTTTCTAGCCGTCATCTCAATCCATGATCTGTGAAGGTGACAAGACTGTATGATATGGTACCTATGGTAGTCACGTGCACCACGGGCACCCTGTTTAGCCACATTTGACTGAAGTTCCGTTCGAATCAACTACATACCAACACATCAATCCATTAATCTATTCTACACACGCTTGCATCATATGACATCCCCCCACCATGTCGCGCTCATCAGTGCCTTCCCCCAATCGCAGATCCTCGGAATCGGACGCACCGGCCTCGTAGTTCGCCAGCTGGAGGGGCAGACAGCCATCAAATACCCGCTGCGATGGAGCACAAGCAGCGAGGAAGAAGTACAAGGCAACATCGAATCCATCCAGCACGAGCAAGCAATCTACCAGCGCCTCGAGCACTGCGCGGGCATCGTCCCGTTCTTCCCCGTCAGCTCCACAGCGACATCCACCACGCTCCGCCTCATGGAAACCGGCGATCTACGCTCCTACCTGAGTCAAAAGACCAACAACCCAAACCCGCCCAGGTCCCGCCAGCTCTCGTGGTTCCGAACAATGGCGCACGCGCTCTCTCAGATCCACGACCGCCGCGTCATTGTCGGTGACATCGCGACCCGCAACTTCCTCCTCGACGCGGAGTTCACCGTGTGGATGTGTGACTTTACCGAGTCTGTGCTCTTGCCGCTGGACACTGATATGCAGAGGGCCGAGTGGGCGGGGTATTCTATCCATACGGACATCGGGCAGCTGGGCGCTGTGCTGTACGAGGTGGTGACTGGGGAGAAATGCGACTTCGCCATCTTTGCGGATCTTCCGGCGGAGTCGAGCAGTAGCAGCGGCAGCGGGATTTGGCCGCGGAGAGAGGATCTCCCTGGTACCGAGGGGATCTGGCTTGGGTCGGTGATTGAGCGGTGTTGGACGAGGGGGGTTGAGAGTGCGTTTGCCTTGTGGGTGGAATTGGAGGCGGAGGCTTTGGAGGTCGAGGTTGAGGTCGAGGACGAGAACAGCCTAGGTAAGCGGCGCTCGCTATCCAGGGACTTGGGATTGGACTTAAATTCGTCGCTTGGGCTTTTGCGTCTTGGAACTGTGTGCCTGGCGACGGTGGCGGTTGGTGCGATTGCAGGGTATGTTTGGAGTCGGAGACGGTAGGTGGCCATTGGACTGAAGAGAGAATACCGTGGTATTCCCGTCTTATATTGAACGGAAAATATGCGTCAGACGACACTAGGGCTCCGGTTGTCTTTCACTCCATTCCAGTAGGCTCTGGGTTACCATCTTGCTCCGCTCGTTTCCCCCGTCCCACTTTGGTGCATGCTCCGTACCTTTAGGATGCTGTTGCTCTGTCTGCAGGAGCTCCACCTGTTGTTCTTGAAGCGGGGGAACCGGGGTAAGAAGGTCTGCTTATGGGCAGTTCCATTTCCCGCCAGGTCATCTGGCCCGGTAGGGAAGGAAGAATGGAGACGCCCGGATCCAGACCTGACGTGGAGGAAGCTGGAGGCTGCCCTAATAGCATTCGAGCAGGTTGGGATCCCTGACCTGTGTGCTACAGCGAAACTCGATCAGCTCCTGTCCGAGTATTTAAGCCTGGTATATTTGCGTCTACGAAACAGGACTATGCGGCGCAGCACCCAGAGTCAAGTTGAAAGTCGGCGGACACTTCCTGCTCGCGAAGTTATCGGGACACATTGACGCGAAAACATTCAAGCATACGAGTCAGAGCCTATGCCCAGCCGTGGCGAAATTAAGCCAAATATAAGCCTTGTCAGCACTAGGCAGTCGGAAATCCCATCGGCAATTCCAACCCAACAAGCCTCGGAATTACCCCAAGGCGTCAACCAAGCAAAACGAGGAGAAATGCTTAATCAGAGCAAGAATCGGCACTGTCAGAGGCAACTCCATCCGGGGACGGCATTGACAGTCACCTTTATCTACCGGGGCGCGTCACGATCTCCACCGTCAGCGCTGTTTCAACCCCGGATAGGACGCTGGCCCCGCGCTAACCCCGGACCCCCTGCGCTATCTCCAGACGTGACATTCGACCCACATGGGGGATTGTCCCCGCGAGACGTTGGGGTAGAGCTGATATAGAGGGTTGGGCCCCGGGTGGATTTCCAGGGTGACGGGACAAGTTACGATGACCGTGAATATGCTGGATAAAACACAGTCCGCCTGCGTCGAGGAGGCTGGGCCGGGCGCGTACACGCCTCCTGAGGGTGTACTTTCAGAACAGCACCAGGCATACCTTATTCAACGACATGGGACGCTGGAACTTGACCCCGTGCCGAGTATGGACCCGGCGGATCCGTACAACTGGCCGTTGTGGAAGGTGAGTCCAGCCCAGCCAAACCGACATTGAGATTCAATATTAACATGCGATAGAAAGCAACAAACCTCGCCCTCGTTGCCTTCCACGCCTGTATGGGCACATTCACCGCCGCCGCCATCATCCCAGCCTACGAGGAAATCGCCGAGGCCGTCGACGTCTCTATCCAGCGAGTTTCATACCTTACATCTCTACAAATCGCCATTCTCGGCGCGGCCCCTTTACTATGGAAACCGCTCTCCCACCGCTTCGGCCGCAGGCCTATCTTCCTCATGTCGCTGGCTCTAAGCTGCGTCTGCAATATTGGCTGCGCGAAGAGCCCCGACTATGCGTCCATGGCGGCCTGCCGAGCCCTGGTGGCGTTCTTCATTTCGCCGGCCATGGCGCTGGGAAGTGCGGTTGTGATGGAGACGTTCTTCAAACACCAGCGGGCAGGATACATGGGTGTTTGGACGGTTATGGTGACGCTGGGTGTGCCCGTTGGGCCGTTTATCTTCGGGTTCGTGGCGGAGCGCGTTGGGTTCGTGTGGATTTACTGGGTGCTGGCCATCGTACGCCTTCCACCTTCTTTTTAAAGAGCAGGTCCTAACATTCACAGACAAACGGCATCCAATTCCTCCTCTACCTCTTCCTCGGCCCCGAAACGCGGTACACAGGACCCGTCTCCTCCCCAAAACGCCACCAGTACATGACCCTCTCCCGCATCGATCCCACCCCTTTCACGATCGCCGAGTTCCTCCGCCCCTTGTCCTTGTTCACCAACATCCCCGTCCTCCTCGCCGCAATCGCCTACAGCATGGTCTTCCTCTTCGCGTCCGTGCTGAACAGCGTCGAAGTCCCGCAGCTGCTGCAGGTAAAATTCGGCCTCAACGCGCAGCAACTCGGCCTGCAGTTCCTCGGCCTCATCATCGGCTCGCTACTCGGTGAGCAAATGGGCGGCGTCATGTCCGACACRTGGATGAACCGCGCGGGCCACATCGCACACAAGAACAAGACGGCTCGCCACGGCCATCCACCACCAGAATTCCGCCTCTGGCTCTCCTACCTCGGATACCTACTCACCATTGCAGGAATGATCGTGTTCCTTGTCTGCACTGAGCAAAGTCAAGAAGGGAAATGGCGCGTCGCCCCGATTATCGGCACGGGGGTCGCCGCGTTCGGAAACCAGGTTGTTACGACTGTGCTGACGACGTATGCGGTGGACACGTATCCGCAGGATGTGGGGGGCGTCGGCGTGTTCATTAACTTCGTTAGATCGACGTGGGGCTTTATCGGGCCGTTCTGGTTCCCCAGTATGTTTGAGAGTGTGGGGGTTGCGAGGAGCTCGGGGGTTGTGGTTGCGTTGATTATGGGGTGTAGCTTTGTTCCGACGGTTTATTTGCATTTTGCTGGACGAAAGTGGAGGGGGGAGGTTTAGGTACATCGTTGAGCCAGGGCTTTGTGTGCCTTACCTGCTGTGCTGAGCATACATGGTATCCATGGATGTGGTACTAAGGGCTTCGATAGACGAAGGTTATTGGAACAATATAATAAATACTATGGTTGAATAGACTGATTGGTACTGAATGATTGCACGAATAGAAGAGATTCTTTTCCAACCTATGTACACTCCTTAAACGCCTCAATATGCAAGATGCAGTATCATAATGTCCTCTCAGCAGCCTCCCCCAGCAGCGCCTCCGTATGCCTCCAAACAACCCCATCCGTCCCATCATCCAGATACCCCTTCAAGGAATTTGTCGTCCCCCTAACCTCCCCCTTCCAATTCAGCAGATACGCACCACCCCCCTTCACCCCATCAACACCCACCGCAACCTCCCCCTCCTCCCCTCCCACATCCCCACCATTCCTCGCCGAGTACCTCCCAGACGTAAGATGAAAAAGCCCCCTCTCCCCGCTCTCCTGCACCCCCACACTAAACGGCCACAAAAGCGGCCAAACCCCATACTCATACACCTTCGCCACCGGGCCCGGAAACGAATTCCTGTAGATGCTCGTGCCCACGAGGCCCGGGAACGCGTGGATGAAGGAGACGTTGCGGTTGACCTTCGCCAAGTGTGCCATTGCCAGCGAGGTCATGGTGATGCTGTGCTTGTAGGCGTTTAACAGTGAGAATGTGTGCTTGTGCTTTAGGTCCAGGTCGCATTTGTTGATGCGGTGCTCGAAGCCCCCGCCGTAGATCGAGAGGACTCTGCCTCTGCCTTTGCCTTGTGTGTTGGAGAGCAGGGGGAGGAGGTTCTGGATGAAGCGCATGCGCGCGTAGTAGCGCAGGGAAAAGAGGCGGTCGATTCCCTCGGGTGTTTCTGTGGACTTATATCAGCATCAATCTTGGTTACGGTTACGGTTATTGTATAAGGTGCAAGCATCCATACCATCGCGCCCCCGGAACGGCACCGAGATCCCACCGGGCGTCATGAACAGAAAGTCCAACTTCCCGCTCCCGCCTGGACCGTTCTCGTTCTGCAGGACCGTCTTACAAGCCCTATCGACGTTCCGGATTAGGCTCACATCCGCCTCAATGAACTTGAATTTTGCTGTTGGGCTGAGACTCTGCAATTCCGAGAGGACTGGTTTCGCGCGCGATTCGCTCCGGCCGACGATGTATGCCGTCAATGCTTTTCCTTCTGTGTGACGCGCTAATGCGCGGAGTGTAGAGAGGCCGATGCCGCTTGTGCCGCCGACGAAGAGCGCTGTTATTTTGTTTGGGGTGGTTGGAGGGGATGTCAAGGTGCGCAGGGCGGCGTTTGATTTGCGGACGAGGTTTAGGGAGACCATGACGACGAACGATATTGATGACCAAGCGGGCGCAAGTATGGGAAGAAAAAGCAGGAAGAGAAGAGAGCCAGGAGAGCAAGGGCTATTTGTACTCCAGTCCTCGTGCTGTCATGGCCAGAGCTTGCGAGGTTGAGTCAGCCACTGCTTTGTATACATGCATATCCCCTTGCGAGGGTTAAGCCTAATGCGGCCTAGGCTCGCAAGATCCCTGTCAAAGTCCGGCTGCGCTAGGCCAGGAGGGGATTAGCTCGCTGAACTCGTCCAATCGGATTGTTGTTTGGCTTGCCTTTATTTCGAGGATCGGCGATTTGGTGGGGCCATCATCTGCTGCGCTTCCGATCACTTTTCTTCCTTGGGATTTGATCTGCTGTCTTGGCTGCAATGTGGATTACTATGGCTGCTCTGAATGATCTGGATGAGCTTAGTTTTCGTCGGTCGGGAACGATCGGGAGGCTCGATCTTCCCGGGCGATGGAAGTAGGCATGGTATCTGTAGGCTTAGTGTTGGTTAGTCAAATGGAGGCTATGGTACTATGGCCTTTGTACATATGTACAGCTGTGGCTGCATAGACTGAGGATTTTGAACCAGTGAGGATCAGCGCGTATCGTGCGTCATGATCTCCATGCCTTGTTGGTATGTCCTGCTACTATGATCGCTTCCGTTTTAATCCATCAAAATGAATCCTTCAGGTATACTCTGGTTGTAATCGTTCGGGCAAGTATAGGGCTCCTGAAGATTGTGATAAATACCTTCATATCTTTTGTACCTGCACTCGACAAGTTTTCAGCTCTCGGTTAGGGTTAAATACTGACCGGGCACAGTGCTGCGATCGTCGAACCCTACCTATCCACGGAGTGACTGTCTAACCATATTCAAAGGGTTCATTCATGGCCTACATGAGCCTCAATGCAAAATGACACTATTGAGACCTCTCTTTCCCCACACGGCGCATAGTCTAGGCCATGCGTTTCCCGAGGTCGTAAGGCTGATTCCCCGCACGGCACCTCGTATAGGGCTGGGCGCTGAAGCTCACACCCAATCGCCATTATTGTCCCAATTAAGTCGGGAACATTCTAGGCTAGAGCGTTATGATGTCATGGTATATTAGTTTCTTCAGCCAAGAATATAGGGTTTTCTTGGCTTGATGGTTATTGGAACATTCAGTTGGAGGTAAGATAGAAGGGGCATGGAACGAGGCTGAGTGCCCAGAACAGCATGACGAGCTGATTTGAAATCAAGCACTTACCTTGCCGTACATAAACTCGCCCGGATTCGCTTTATGTGAGAATCGCCTTTCATCATCTATCCATCTATCCCTACGAAATAGAGCCGCTATATCTGCAACAATCCATACTTAAATCATGGCGACGCCAGCGTTCACACCCAAAACCCACCGACACACCTACGAAGCAATAAACCCCAAGCGCCCCTCTCTCTCCCAAAAAGGCCGCACGATCCTCATAACCGGCGGCGCATCCGGAATCGGCTACGCGATCTCCCGCGCCTTCGCCGTCGCCGGCGCCGACCGCGTGATTATCCTAGGTCGCCGGGCAGACGCCGTCGCCGAAGCCGCTGTTTCGCTGCGCGCCGAGGTAGCAGCCGAGGGAAACCTTAAGGGCGAGATCCAAGGTCGCGTTGGCGACATCTCATCGCTCGAGAGCATCGATGCGCTATGGGACGGTCTTGCCGCTGAGAACATCACCGTCGACGTCGTCGTCCTCAACGCAGCGAGTTTCTCGAAGGCCGCGCCGGTTCTGGAGATAGGCGTGCATACGCTTCTTGAGGATTATCGCGTGAATGTCCTGGCGGGTTATCGGTTTGCGCAGAGGTTGAAGGGGCAGGAAGGTGGAGCTGGTGGGAAGAAGGTACGTCCATCCACAAACCACCCTGGGGCATCTCCTTCACTCCATGGGGTCAAGCGAGGCCTGTTTAATAATGGTTGCGATAGTACCTCCTCAACGTCTCAAGCATAGCAGCGCACGATTCCAACACGGCCCCCACAAACCTGAACTACGGCGCGAGCAAGAACGCCGCTGCGTTACTATTTCAGCTGATGGCGCGCGAAGTGCCAGCCCAGCAGATGCAGATCATCAGCTTCCATCCTGGCGCTGTGTTGACTGAGAAGGCGAGGGCGCATGGGTATACGGAGGATACGCTTCCGTGGGATGACGGTTCGTCAATTCCTTTCTTTTGCCTGAAGCTGCATGGATAGAGAAGCTTAAGTTCCTAACGCGCAATAGTTGATGTTCCCGCGCACTTTTCCGTCTGGGCGGCGTCTGAAGAGGCGAGCTTTCTGCATGGGCGCTTTGTGCATGCGACGTGGGATGTTGGTGAGCTTATGGAGGGTGAGAAGAGGGCGTTGATTGATGGGGATCTGGAGCTGCTTAAGATTGGGGTGAAGGGGCTGTAATGGAACATGGAGTCAGGGCAATTAGGGCTACCTTTCTTTTTGGGCTATTGTGTGCTATGGCTATACATCAAGATAAACCGGATCCAAGCAACGAGGTATCTACCCATTGGTATCCTGCTCAAGGTCTTGGGCTTTCAAACATAATATCTATCCACTAAATTGATTCCTTTTCCAAAGGAGCCTTTGTCTAGACTTGTGGGTGGTTGGGTGAATGCTTCACGCAAGGTCCTTCAGCTGAATCCTGGCCAGTGAGTTAGCCCTACCTAAGTCAACAAGAATGACAGGCTAGACAGGCTCCATCACAGCCAAACCTCAACATTCACGCAGCACAAAAGACAAACAGGAACAAAATCAATTACGCAACGCAATCGTTCCAATTCATTATTATAAATATTTACAAGATGAGCTGAAGAAATCTAGATGGATAAGATAAGGACAGGCCGATAACGAGCATCGGCGGATCCCGCAGCGGGACTGCCCGACTGCTGCAATTATAAAAGAGGCCAGCCCCGTCCCACCCAACGTCTGAAATCCGACCGAGTTTGGACAAATTGCCTCTCACAATGCCTGCCCTTACTGTTGAGCCCTTGACACCCCCCGCCGGGTCCTCCATCGACTTTGGCGCCGTCATTGCGAACGCCGATCTGGAGAATCTAACCGGTACGTCATCACCAAACACCTGGAAATATGGCTAGATAGCTAACAGCATCCAGACGACGACTTCACCACAATCCGCCAAGCCCTGTACACACACCAAGTCCTGGTCTTCAAAAACCAGCACCACCTAACGCCCAAAGCCCAATACGAACTCACCCGGCGCTTCGACCCGCTCGCAACAACATACGGGCACGGCAAAACCATCGACGCAAAGCGCAGCATCCTGCACCCAGACCTCAAGACCATCCCGCACCAGCCGCAGGTCCAAGTCATCGGGCACGGCACCATCGAGTCCTACGAGGGCCTGCACAACATCACGCTGAAACACCCGCACCACCGCACGTTCCACCGCGACCCGATCCCGCTCGAGGACGATTACGATTTCACGCGCTTCTACAGGTGGCATATTGATGCGGCGCTGTATGGGCTCAATCCGCCGATGGTGACGACCCTGCTTGCCGTCAGGGTTCCCAGTGGACGGCGGCAGACGCTGCGGTATGACGATGGGTCTGGGGAGACGATGGAGGTGCCGCTGGGCACGACGGCGTTTGTGAGTGGGGAGCGGATGTATGATTTGCTTTCTGGGGAGGATAGGAAGTTTGCGTTGCGGGCGAGGGTTGAGTATGCGCCGCATCCGTATGTCGATCCTACCCTACCTATCATTATGGTATTGGATGGCTGGCTGACAGTAGTGACAGGTACATCTGGATGTCGCCTGCGCGCTCCCGCCCTACAGGTCTGGGAATGTACAGCGATAACCTGGAACTCCCGCTATCTGACCTCCCGCCCATCGACGAGTCCTCTATCCAGGTGTTGCCCATGGTCTGGAAGAACCCGGATACCGGCAAACCAGCGCTGCAGATCCACCCGTCGGCCGTGCGCAAGATCCACTGCGCAGATGGGACGGTCATTGACGATCTAGAGCGGGTGCGTGAGATTGTGTATGGCCTGCAGCGGCCGGCTATCAGTCCGCAGTATGTGTACGCGCATGACTGGGAAGAGGGGGATCTGGTGCTGTTCCATAATCGGGGAGTGTTGCATTCTGTTGTGGGGGCGTTTGGGGAGGGGGAGGTCAGGTTGTTTAGGCAGTGTAATTTGGCGGCGGGGGAGGGGGTCGTGGCGTATGAGGGGGGGAACTGAGGGGCATGGATTCAGAGGGACATAGTGGCGTATAGATGTTAGACATGGAATAGAGTACCATGGCGTGCAATTCATCTCTTCCAGAAGGCAAGTACGGGTGACCTTCATGTCTCCGGGGTTAATGCCATGCAGATGTCAGCATTTAGGGCGAGAGGTGGGCCGGTGGAGTACCGTACATCTACAACTGGATATCCAGGGGCCTGGTCGAGCTCTCATGGGCAGTTCAACACAACGGCGCTGGGAAAAGGTGGGAATGACCTCTGAAAAGTCATTTCCGAGGGCTGACGGACGGATTGGGTTCCTTCTTTCTTCATTCCATTAAGTGGGGGGTATAACTATAAATACCTACCCTAAGGGGCTCGATACCATAGCGCGCCAGCTGCAACTCGAACCTTCCACATCTTTGAACCTCAGTCAGGCAAGATAACTTCGTCAACCTCTCTTTCCATCTCTTCCCCTCTCAACTTCACCCACCGATCTTCCAACGCATACCGTCATACCAAAACCATGCCCGAATCCTCCCTATCCCCAGCACCTCTCCTCCCACCCCCCCGACGCATCGTAACAGGCCACACCCCCACCGGCCTCGCAACAGTAACGCACGACACCACAGTCCCTCCCCAACCCATCGGCAACGGACCACACATCGCACTCCTCTGGCACAGCACGACCCACCCCGCAACCATCAACGACGCAACCGACCAAGGCCCCGGGGCCGTGACCGGAATGCCACCGTCCGGCTCCGCGCTATCAGCGTACGACATCCCGCCAAAGTCGGAGGGCGTCTTCCACCGCTCCATCACCCTGGACTATGTGATTGTGGCGAAGGGGTGTGTTGTGCTACGCCTTGATGATGGCTCGGCGGTTAGGCTGAATGAGGGCGATGTCGTTGTGCAGAGGGCGACCATGCATAGCTGGTGTAATGAGGGGGAGAGCTGGGCGCGGGTTTTTGGGATTATGATGCCGGCTGAGAAGCCGGTTGTTGGGGGGGATGGGGGTGGAGGGGAGGGGCGGGAGCTTGAGGCTGTGTGGCCGTTTTGAGGTGGAAGCCCGAGCTGGAGGCTTGCGTGTTGCTAAAGTGTTATATCTACTGCCGCACTATGTTATATTCTGCGAGACGCACTTTGCCATTTTTAGTGCCCCATGATCATGATTCAAGATCTATTATCGTTGGACGGGGCGTGGATCTTGGCCCCAACCCTCCAGATCCGCAGCAGGACGGGGGCCATCGTGCCCTAACTTTGAGAGACACTTGCCGCTGCAGCGCTTGCTCCAAGCCCATACGGCGATGCGCCAGCCACCACTTGAAACAAGTAATACTAATCATTTAATCTCGAACATAACGAGAGCCAAAAGATAGACGAGAGCGGGGAACGCTGTATGCCACTAGACCAAGCCAGGAACCGTTAGATGATGGTTGGACACTAACGGTTGCCGGCGTTGGGGGCTGAGGCTTAGCATACATATGGAGACGCCCACCAAGGATCGGGCTGAAAATACTTTGGCGCTGGAAAGGGTCTGTCGAGGTCTGTCGCGGTTGTAAATATTCATTCACTCAGATCATGAGCGGTTTGGAACTGTATCTAGGATTATGAGTGAATTATATTATGAAAGCAACCTCACTTCAGGGTGTACAACGTGCACCGCGCCGGAATCAGAGCTTCCAAAATACGCGGCTATGCTGAGGTTGAGCCGCAAAATGGCCCCTTTACTGTCAACACTGCCCCAGTTACCTGCTGCTGCGCCCTGTGCAGTGTACCGATGCTGTGGTACAACCGACAAATCTACCCAGCTCGCGCCCGAGCGTGCATCGTCCAAGCTATAAAAAGGGACTCGCCACTGCTTTCCAACCCATCATCTTAACTTCAGCATTAACCATCAGAACAAATCAAACCCACTCTATTAACTCTGCACCCTCTCCGTCTCGTCTACCACCAAGCCGCCAACATGCGCTCACCCATCTCCCTCTCACTCCCAACCCTCCTCGCCCTCCTCGCCACCGCCAGCCACGCCCTCCCAAGATCAACATCCCCCAATACCTTAACAAAACGCCTGACCCTCTCCTGCAACGACAACGGCGGCCGCTACCGCCCCGTAGCCGAAGCCCAGGCCTGCGTCGACTACCTCTTCGCCAAGGCCAGCGACGAGTGCGTCGTGAGCGGCGAGAATACCGTCTTCTGTCAGGCGGGCGATACAGTCATTACGGGGAGTAATGTTGGTGAAGGGGGTGATAGTTCGCCTTGGTAGGCCGCCCATTTATATCCATGAGGGATGAATGAGTTGGGAACGGGGTTGGGCTAACGAGTGTACCCTGTGTAGCCGCGATGTTGCGTATGCCGCGCAGAGGGTTATTGATAGCTGTACGACGCCCGAGGGGTATGTTGGAGGTGAGTTTTAGTCTTGCTCTGCTATGGTTGATGTTCCAACGGTTTGGTGGGCGGTTAACTGACTTGACTGCTTATAGGGTATGACGCTGCGACTGGGAACGAGGCGCTTATTGTTTCGATTAACCACCGGTAGTAGACTCTGATTCTGCGTGTGACTGCCGCGGTGTGGAATTGAGTTGGAGCTATTCTGTGCTTTACGTTCATGACCATTGAACTTTTGATATGTCTTTGCATTAGGCGCTTGGGTCTTGTCTCCAGCTTGCAGTCGGGCTATACTGTATATATTTTCCAATCTTAAAGAATCAGCTATGATATGATATTGAGTTCCATTGGTAAAGCCGTTCTCACGCCATGAAACATGGATCAACTCACTAGGAGTTTGTTTCGTTGTTTTCCCTGCCGTAGTTTCTCCTCCCGAGTTCATTGCCGAACAAAGGCCTTAGCCCTAGGTACTACGCGCTGCGCCGCTCTATTTCCGGCGAAGCGCTTGGACAAGGTTAGCCATTCCAGCTGCGGCGCTGTCATGCCAATATTTGGGTGCCGTTGGAGTCTATGTTACCTAAGGTTTCTAATTGGGCTATGCCTGCTCAAAGGATCCTCCTAAGCGCCGAGCAGAGTCATCCACAACATTCTGAGTCAAGGCTAAAATGCTCAATATATTATTCTCCCTGCCTGACCAGACCCCTTTTCCCAAGATATTCCACGTTCCTATATCCGCGTTCCCTAGGGTACACAAAGCACCGAAATGGCACTAGATTCAAAAGAAAACACCAACGACCCCGACACCATCTTCAAAACCGGCCTGCTAGCCGAAATACACACCGAAAACCCAGCCCCCAACCCCGTAACCCGCTTCCCGCCAGAACCAAACGGCGTCCTCCACCTCGGGCACGCAAAAGCAATCGCCATAAACTTCGGATTCGCAGCGTACCACGGCGGCATCTGCTACCTGCGCTATGATGACACGAACCCCGCGAACGAGGAGGAGAGGTACGTCACGGCCATCGCGGACATGGTGAAATGGTTAGGGTTTGAACCGGCGATGGTCACGTCCTCGAGTGATTACTTTGAGCGGCTTTATGAGATGGCTGAGGAGTTGATTAGGCGGGATGGGGCGTATGTTTGTTTTTGCGATAGTATGTTACTCTAACTGTCAAAGCCGATCCTCCGCTGATGATATTATGGTAGAGAATGAGATTGCTCAACAGCGCGGCAGCGGCAAGGGGGGGCCCCGCTACGCATGTCGGCACCGGAATCGCCCTGTGGCTGAATCTCTGCGCGAGTTTAGAGCCATGCGTGATGGGAAGTATGCGCCCCAAGAGGCTCTCCTACGACTAAAGCAGGACCTCGAGTCCGGGAACCCGCAGATGTGGGATCTAACCGCGTACCGTGTCATTGATGTGGATGGCAAAGTGGAAGGCAGTACACGGAGTGAATGTGATAGGGATGGTAAATGGAGAATCTACCCAACGTACGACTTTGCGCATTGCTTGGTCGATAGTCTCGAGGGCATAACGCACTCGCTGTGCACGATGGAGTTCGAGCTCTCGAGGGTTTCGTATGACTGGCTTTGCGAGAGACTTGGTGTTTACAGGCCGATGCAGAGAGAGTACGTCCTATCCAGTCCAAGGCCCCCATTTCATTCGGTTGATTGTGGCTAACTCTCAACTTCGGCATTTAGATACGCCCGCCTCAACCTCTCCGGCACCGTCCTCTCAAAACGCAAAACCCAAGCCCTCATCTCCGCCGGGCACGTCCACGACTGGGACGACCCGCGCCTCTACACGCTCATCGCCCTGAAACGCCGCGGCGTCCCACCAGGCGCTATCCTCTCCTTCGTGAACGGGCTCGGCGTCTCAAAGGCAACCACTACAATACCCATCCAGCGATTCGAGCAGAGCGTGCGGCGGTACCTGGAGCGGAGTGTGCCGCGCCTAATGCTCATTCTGGATCCGGTCCCTGTGGTCATTGAGAATCTTGATGATGAGTATGTTGAAATGGTTGAGGTCCCGTTTTCGAGGGAGGATGGGTTCGGTGTGCACTTTGTGCCGTTTACCAGGACGGTCTATGTCGATCGAGATGATTTTAGAGAGGCGGGCAGTATAGATTTCTTCCGGCTGGCGACGGGACAGTCGGTGGGCTTGATGAGGGTGCCGTATCCCGTTACTGCGACCGGTTTCGAGAAGGATCCGTGCACTGGACTGGTTACGTTGATACGGGCTCGTTATGACAAGCCCACGGACGGCAAGACGTTCAAGAAGCCAAAGGCGTAAGTTCTTACTTCCTACACCAAACTCAAGCCCTGCTGATCCTGTCGAAGATATATCCACTGGGTTGCGGAATGCCCATCGCTCAACAGTCCCCTCAAGGCCACAGTCCGCACCTACAATCCCCTCTTCACAGTCGACAATCCAGACTCTCATCCACAGGGCTTTCTCTCTGTTGTTCGTCCACACTCAGAGAATGTCTACCCGAGTGCACTTGTCGAGGTGGGTCTGAAGGAAATCATCCGCAGCGCTCCGTGGCCGAAATCCCACCCTGGGCACCCATTAGGAGGGCCAGCACAAGAAACGGGTGCAACTTTAGCATTTGACATGCCGGAAACTGTGCGTTTCCAGGGACCTCGAGTGGGGTATTTCTGTTTGGACCGCGATAGTTCTGATGGCGGCATCGTTCTGAATCGAATTGTGACGCTCAAGGAGGACGCGAGGAAATAGGGCCCGGGCAATAAAGAGTGAATTTCCATGGTTAAGGTTGACTCGATGTATTGTTATCTGCAGAAGGATAGATAGAGAAAATAAAGATGATCAGGCAGCAACCTTTCTATTCCAGCCTACTTGGAACCCATGGGTACCTTATTTAGGCGCCGGCTGGAATTACTACCCGGTCAAAGGTTGAATCCCCCACCTCATTCAGAGTCTGGGGAAGTCTCCATTCCTCTCCCACCGTATCTCACGACGTCGCCCTTGAATCTATTTCTTCCCCAGCCATTGATATCCAAAAGCGCCATGCCCTCTAGCACCAGCGCCACATGGCCGAATTTCACCCCACGCTGGGGCCGTCTTCCAATCGAACAGTACCTGATCGTACGCGACCCTGCACAGGATTATCGAACGAGTACTAAATTCAGACAGAGGCACTGGAACCACTCATCCCCCGAGCCAAATAACCAGCAACGGCTACGCCTGATCCATGCATACATCCATCTCGACAAGGTCCCTCAAGAATGGGACCCAACAGACTTCGGCGAAGCATGGTACGAGCCCGATCCCAACGATACAAATCGCGCCTTTGGCCCGACGCGCATTCCAACAGATACCGAGATCGAGGTTATTCTCCGTCCCTGGCGCTCGCACGATCTCCGCAAGCGGGCGTGGGAGATCTGGTGCGGCAGGGACCGGGGCTACCCCGTCATGCTGAGGACGTATTATGATGGGGAAGAGGGTGGTGCGAAGTTCACAGAGTATACACGCGTGTCTGAGACCTATCACGCTGTCACGGACTGTCTTGCGCTGTGCGATGCCCAGCTCTTCAACTTTGGCTCTGAATGGCGGCGGGTCTTCGACATCCTCCCGGAGATCGCGGGGTGTAGGGGCCATCAAACGGATTATGATGCCAGTGATATAAACAATGTCGTTGGGATTGGGCGTCGGCTGTCGGCGTACTATCCCCGGCGTCCTGACCGGGATATGCTAGAAGACGACTATGCGGAGCTGGAGGATGAGATCGAAAATAGCAAGGCGGAGTGCCCCGACTGGAAAGAGAATCCAGATATACTGCTTGAGCCGGGCGATACTGCTATCCGGTCATTACTGCGGACCGCCACGATCTCGTGGGTTATTGTTGTGGATGAGAAGGCCTTCAGAACAGATGAGCTCTTGGTTATCTATTTCGATATGTATCAGGATGTCACGGTTGAAGGACGGCTTGGGCTGGACCAGGGCTATCTTGATGAGATGTTGATGCGCTGGGAGGATGGCGGCCGACCGCTTGGGTTTGTCATGGAGAATGGCACGGTTGGAGAGAGGTACAGGCTGTCAAATGAGTCCGGGAGGAGATTCTTTCGTTTGAGTGATGATTATGAGCACCAAGCTGGCGATGCAAAACTTCAGCAGGAGGGAAACGACTAGAGGCGCAAGCAGAAACCTAAAAGAGCATGATGTAGCTTTACCTAATTTTATCAAATATACTCCTCGAAGAGTTATAGATTAAAATTCTCAAGTACCATGATGTTGCATTGCTCCAGCCTGTTCCTGGCCCAAAGCACAGCCAAAGCCCTAACTCCCACACCCCTAAAGTACTTAGTAAACAGTAATCGCCGCCGCCCCACTACTCTGATACCCCTCCGTCGCCACAATCTGATAATTATGCGTACCCAGCCTCATCCCCAACCCCGCCCACGCATTGAAATGATTAGCCGTCGTCACACTCCCGCCCGTGCGCTTCGACTGCCGGACAGACCAGAACTGCGTGAAGGTCGCGGTGCCCTCGATGGACGGCGCATTGTACCGCGTCGCCGTGTAGATGTTATAGTTCGAGCCGTCGGAGTACACGGTGCCCCGGTACGTCCCGCCGCTGCCCGGGTTGTAGGTCCCGTAGGACTCGACGATGTAGTACTCGATCAGCGGGTTCTGGGTCCACCCGTAGACGGCCAGGTAGCCGTTGCCGCTGGGGTTGAAGGAGCCGCCGTAGCTGATTGTTCTGTAAAGCGTTGTTAGCAGGGCTTGCATGTGGCACCGGCTGCAGTTGTAGGGTGGGTGGTTGGGGAAACGGGGACGGGACGGGCGTGGACGCACCGTGTGCTTCCAGGATTCCATCCCTTTCCGCCAACGAAGTTTCCGACGTTGCTCCACTGCACTGTGTATGAGCCGCCGGCGCCGTTGGTGTAGGTCACGTCGCCGCCGCCGTCGGTCCAGAAGGAGTAGTAGTAGCCGTTGCTCCAGCCGGTGGAGCTGGGGGTGGAGCGTTCGAGTAGGGTTTTCTCGTCGCGTGCGGCGAGGTCTTCAGACTCGATGGGCGTAGAGAACGCCCTAAGGGCAGTGCAGAGAAAAACTAGGAGAGCGGAGAAAGGGGCCTTCATTGTGCTGGTGTTAACCGTCTTTCAAGTTGGTCGGGTTGCTGGATACTGGGAACCGGACAGTGGGCAAGACGACTTACTTTATAGTTGTCACCCGGTTAATAGCATCTGAATCAGAAGTACAAAGTCACCGCATGAGAGGCAATTAGCCTGTTTCCGGCTCTTCTGACTATAAACTCCTGAATAGCCATTATATCTTTCCAGGCAGCGTAGCATCGATCGGCAAGCGGTGCATGTTCTAGAACCCATGCGGGGGACCAAACCCCAGACCAAGCCCTGCGGACCCTGATCCGTTCCATAAGACGACTTGCTGAATAGCCTGAATGAACGATCTCTCCAGGGCTGAAGAATCCCGCCGCCCCTTCCCATGTTTCAGTTGGAGACGGCGCCGCTTGGCACGCTGAAGCATCGTGGTCGAGCTCCGTTGCAAATAGAGGTAGCCCCGCCCGTTAACCAGAGATCACGACAGGAATCGGCCGGTATAGGTCCACTGGAGACTCCGGCTTTAGCCTATGGTACCTGCCCATCTATCCAAGAGCCACCGCTAAACATCCGTCCCCGTGCTACATGTTGTCGTAGGAATGATGCTTGTTGCCGAGTCCCTGGAAACAGTGGGAGCTTTAACTCTCCTACCCACAATAGAAACATATAATATTACCACTCATGCAAGAAGTGCGCAGGAACGAACAACTGCAGTAGGCGCTGCCTACAAACGGTCCCTTGGAACTTGGAGCCTGAGGCTATTTCGAAAGATCACAGCGTAGATTGGCAGAATCGAGGCCATTACAGAAAGCGCCTCCAGAAACCCGTGGACGCATCCGGTACTTACCCATCATTGTATTTGGTGCATGCAGTGAGTGAGCGTCGGCCGGTGTTTCTTGTTGTGTTCCGAGGATGGTATGGGCTCACCATCGGGCATAATGGATATCATGTCACTGTTTCAGTAGCGCTCGTATGAGTGACTCTGGAAAGAGTAAGGCGCATTGGATTGACGAGTGGTATACTCTGAATAACGGGGCTGTTAGACGCTGCAGGTGCCATCCCGCCGTTGGCTGATCCCGGAATATAGTTGCGCCAGGTTAGATCTAGTATATTAACTTTAGTTATATGAAGCATTTTATAATATATACTTTATTAAAGTAAAATAAAAATATATATTAATTTTAAATTTATATTAATAAAATAAATATATTATAAAAATAGTTATAATATATTTATAATAAATATATATAATTATTATTATAAATTACTAGGTAAATATAATTTAATAATAATTAATTTAGGTTTATTAAATTATATATTTATAAATAAAATTTATATTTAAATTAACCTGTTACCGCCTATTAAATTTATTACTAAGATTATTTATATTATTAAGATTATAATATATTTTATAAACTATATAATAAATATTATAAATGCATGTTACTAGTAATTTTATATATTATATATAATATAAATTAATATTAATATAATATAATTAATACTAATAATATATAATTAGCTAAAAATTATATATTATAAAAGTAGCACTTGATAAATTACTTTAATAATTTTAATTTAGTATTACTTATTACCTAGGCTAATTAAATAAACTATAAAATATTACTATATAATTAAAATAAATATAAATATAGGTAAAAATCTTAATTTAATACTAATATTAATACTAATATTTAATATTAATATTTAATATTAATAAAAATTTAACTTTTAAAATATTAAGGGCCCGCGGGCCGCCGCCCGAGTTAATCCTAGCTTATTAAATTAATATTAAGTTAAAGGCTATTAATATAATTATTAAAAAAAACTTTATATTATTAATAAAAACTTATTAAAATTATTATATTATAAGTAATTAATTAAAATTATTATTTATGATTATATATTATATATTAAGTTTAAAGTGCTATAAAATATTATTATTAAATATAAGCTGATATTTAAAAAAGGCATATATATAATATTGTTGGAGAGGCCAGAGGAGCTACTTATGTAGGTAAAGATAAAAATATTACAAGATAAATAATAATATTATAAAATAATAAGTAAATCTAGCTAAAAAATAATTTATATATAAAATCTTTAATAAAAAAGTAATATATAATAATACTAGCCTTTTTAAAATAAACACAGGGAATAAAGCTAATTTAAGCTAAAGGCTTTTAATAGCTTTTTTAGCCTACTAAACCTTTGCTTTAATATAACCCCCTAGTATTAATATACTAAGGTTATATAGACTTATAAAAATATAAAAATTATAAAAATATAGTGGTTAGGTAGCTAAAATTTTAATTTTTTATATTAAATTTATTACCACTATTTTTAATATTTTAATAAAACTTAAAAACTTTATTTTATCTAGTGCTTTTATTAGGCTATTTATAAGGTTTTTAGTTTTATTAATTTTTTTTTTTAATTTTATAAGGTTTTTTTTAATAAGACATTTTACTAAAAAATATTAAATATTTATTTATTTAATTCCTAGAGTATACCCTGGTTTCCCTAACTTAATAATTATATTTACTAAATTTATATAAATTATTCTAAGTTTTTTAATATTAAACCTTAAAGCTATATATAACTTTTTAAGTTAAATAGTTTTTACTTTTAGCTATAATTAATTACCTTATAAATTTCTGAAAAATAGGCATGCTATAAAAATAAAATATATATACCTTTATTAACTTTTTTTTATAATTAGCATAAAAACTGTTCATATATTTAACTTAAATATATTTTAAAAGAAATACACAAGCTTATAGCCTTTTTTATAAAAGCTTATTTTAATAAAATATAATTATATTACTAGTAAGTAAAAGCTCCTAGCTACTATAAAAAAAATTTATAAATTAAAATATTATTTTTAAAATATATTATAAAAAGTTAAGGTAATTATAAATTATAAGGCACTAGTAATATTTTAGTTACTTATAAAAATATTTTTATAAATATAAATTTATTAAGCCTAGTTTTTAGCTAGGTTTTAATTTTAAATTATTTATTATACAGGCAAGCTAAACCCTGTAAATAAACCCTTATAAAGAATTAATTATATATAAAATAATTAATATAAAAAATTAAAAAGGTTATGCAAAGCAAGTAAAAAAAACTACTTTAATAATTAAGTATTATAAATATATAAGGTGCTTATAATAATAAATTTATAAATATAAAAAGTACTAAAGTACATGCTATATAAAAAGGCCTAGTTAAAAATTTATTACCTAAAACTATAAGTAAAAAATTTATTATTATTATTATTATTAAAAATAAAAAAATAAAAAAGTTACTAGGTTAAAGTAAATAATAAATAGTTAAGCCACGCGTGGCTAGTAGCTATAAAAGTTATAAATTATAATACTTTATTTAAAGTAAAGGTGCCTCATAAAAAATTAAAAAAGCCTTATAAAAAAAGGCCTATTTTATATAAATTTTTTATAAAAAATTATAAAAAGCTTACTAGTATTTTTAAAGTAAAACCCCTTTATAAAAAAGTTATAAGCACTATTTATAAATATAAATTTAAGCTAAAAAATTATAATATATAAAAAAGTATTTTATAGCTATAAAAGTAATAATATATAAATAATAGCTTTTTATATAACCTCTTATAGTTATATATTCCTAACTATTACTAATTATAAATAAAAATTTAGTAAAACTATATAATAACCTATTTATAGGATACTTTATAAAAAAATATTAAAACTAGTTTAATAAAGGTTTTTTTAGCTAAAAATATACAATTTTATAAAAAATATTATAAAACATGTAAAATTTATTAAAAATTATAGGTATTACATAATAAGTAATAAGGCTTAATTTAGCCTTTACTAGTACTTATAAAGCCTTAAAAGTAAATTAATATAAACTTTATTATAAATTTACTTATAAATATTAAAACTAAGAACTTAAATGGCTCGCGGGAGGTATATAATACTATATTAATAATTATAAATAAAATAAGTAAAATAGCTTATTTTATTTTAATTAAAAAGTTAATTAAGGGTTATAAACTAGCTTACCTAGTAATTTTTAAAATATTTTAATTATATAAAATTTTTTATAAATATTATAATTAACTATAAAAGCATGTTTATGAAAAAATTTAGTTAAACTTTATATATAATATTTTAATTAAATACTTAATAAATACTATACAGTGCTTAATCAGCTGCCGCCAAAACCCACGTGATGCCAAAACTACATCCACACTAATATTTACTTATAGATTTTAACTACCTATATCTCGCCTATTATAACTCCTATAAAAAGGCAATAAAATATATTAATTCCTTAAAGCCAGGAGAATATTTTATATATATAAAAGTTATTATAGATTTTAGTATATAGCAAGAAACTTTGTTTAAATATTATAAAGGCATATAAAGCTTAAAAAAAAGTAGTATAAAAGCTAGTTATTATTTAACGCTTAGTAATTAAAAGTTTTTATAAAATATATTAATTAATAGGCTAGCTAAGGCCTATTTTACTTTAATAATATAATTTAAAACTTTACTAAAAAAATTACTTAAAAAAGCCAGGAAGTAACTAGGTTTCGCGCTGGCTTATAAAATATTAAAATAAACTTATAAGTGCCTATATAAATAGAATTAATTTTTTGAAAAAAAGGCTAATTTAGCTTATAAGTACTTCCTATACTTTAACTACTTAAAGCATAAAATTAATAAATATAAGATACTGCCTAAGAATATATATAATATAAATAAAAAAAAATTTATTAATATAATTATAAAATACAAGAGAATTTTTTTAAAAAAGTTTTATATAAAAGGCCTAGCCAAGTAATATTTATAAAATAATAATTAAAAGTAAATAACTATAATTATATATATTTTAATAAATAAAAAAACTTAATTATTTTTAGGCCTAATTTATTAATTTACTACATGTAAATTATAAGACTCCTAGCTTTAAGATTATAATTCTAAACTTTATAATTATTTTTTTACTTTCTTTTTTTTAAAATAAATAAATAA